CATGATTTAAATTAGTGAAACGAAGAAGTCTATTGAATTTCAGCAATTTCCATCAATTACTTCTGAAGTTATGGCCCTTGTTTCACTTTGTTGCACCATGGGAACGCTCTAACGCTCTGCCGATTTGTAGGAAATTTACATGTGTCATTTAATTTAGTCAAGAGAAGAATCCTATTGAATTTCAGCAATTTCCTTTTATTACTTCTAGAGTTATCATCCGATATGTATGAAATTTATATGCATCATTTAAATTTGTGAAACAGAGGTCTTTTGAATTTCAGCAATTTCAGTCAATAATTTCTAGAGTTATGACGAATGTGAACATTGTGAACGTTTGAATGACAAAAGTGATCATGTGATCTGTATGAAATTTATATGCATTATTTAAATTAGTAAAACGAAAAAGCCTGTCAAATTTTAACAATTTCTGTAGATTACTTCCATAGTTGAGACCCTTGTTTCAGTTTGTAGAACCTTGTGAACCCTCAACGACAAAATTTATAATCCGATCTGAATTGTAAAGGCCCCCAATTACCTACAAAGGAATAAATATGTGACAACCCTTGTCGACCGCTTGGGCGATTTAGCTGTTAGGATGTTAAATTCCATTTCATTTAATTTTTTTTTCTTAAAGATACATTAGTTAAGAGAGTTGGTCATTCTTGCTATAATAATTCAAAAATAGATGATGAAAAAAAGAAAATATTATAAATTTCATACAAATTACTTCATTCTCAGCCAAGTTATCATTGTTTGTAGTTTTGACAAGATGTGTGCACAGTGGTAACCAGCGCACTGGTATAATCGGGACTTAGCCTCGCTTTCCCATTTTTAAATTAAATTTTTAAATGGCGAACCGTTTTAATCTAGTTAAAATCTCGAGTATCCGATGCCATCGAGAGTTGATTATGGTCTTGTTTTGTTAATAAATGTCTAATTAATTGTTTATATAACATTTCAGGCCTAAAGAAAGACCTGCAATAGGCAGATTTAGCTCTTACATAATGTATGTTTAAATAATAATAAAAAGATTATAATTCTGACAAATTAGGTGATGTCAAATAAGATAAAAATGAAAATTCAAAGTACATTGTTCCTTCATATTGTGACAAGTTTTCATTGTAAGTTGGATGACAAACCCACCATTATTGAACAGTAGGACGTTAAACTCCATTTCATTTCATTTCATTTCCCACCATTATTAGATGTTTCTTTGCCTTAACAACAGATCAAAGTGGCTTGATATCTTTGATGTCCCTTTTTATTCAATCTGACTGATTAAAATTGAATGGCAAATTTCATTTAGTTTTTATATTGATATTTCTATTACATTGTCATATTTCTTTTGAAGCTGGGGGGGTTGGATGGTCGAATAGTTACACGTAGCATGTGCGTGCTGTATCATAAAGCCTGTCATTGAGTCAACTGGCATGGTTTCGAATCCCCGGTTGTACGTGACAAGGAGTAGGGTCGCCTGTCCAAACTCGTGGGTTTTCTCCGGGTCCTCCGGTTTCCTCCCACTGCTAAAGACCCCTACGCGCAAGCGAATTATTGAAAAAAAATTAAACCGTATGTTAGTTCCGAAATAACCCAGTTTGTGTCGAAACAAGGCTAGAAAATCCTGATTAACTTTCTCGGTCAAAATTTTATAATAAGACAGTTATTGGTTGCCTGTGTTATTTATATCTATCTATATATATATTTGTGACTGTCCTTTATCTGTCTGTCTGTCTGTTCGGGGTTGACGGCTACACTAGGTCTGCCCCGAGTCTGAAATTTGGGGTATAGGGGTAGCTTGGACCGGGGAGTAACATAGGCCAGGTGGCGTTAGTCTACCACTTCCGGTTTCGGAGTTATGACCCCCGAGCGAAGCTGGGTATCCTGCTAGTTTTATATATTTTTCAGTTATTGGATGCCTGCATTAATAATAATTGTTTATATATTTCAGTTATTGGATGCCTGTGTTAATAATTGTGGTCGTCAGTTTCATCTGGAGATATGTTCCCGTGATTTTACATCTGAATGTAGAACTCTGATTAATCAAAGGGTGAGTAGGCAGTTTATTACATCATCTGGGGTGGGTGAATGGCCGAATGGTTAGCATGTGCATGCTGTATCATTGAGTCAACTGCCGTGGTTTTGATTCCCCATTTGTAGGGTTGTCTGTCCAACCTCGTGGGTTTTATTCGGGTACTCTATGAAATAAAATTGAACCATGTGTTAGTCCCGAAATGACCTAGTTTGTGTCTCGCTTTTTAAAGAAATGTTAAATGAAATTATAATTTGATGATAATTAAACATAAGTGTCTAGTCCTTTGGATAGTATGCAAAGTCGAGGTTCTGTGTACATATTGGCGTTTACATAAAAGAAACCTTGTCAGTTGGAATTCAAAATAAGAGTAGCTGTAGTGCCTCTGTCCTGGCAAACATTTTCCTCATAGCTGGTTAAAATTAGTTATATGTCTGCTTGGGGAGGAAAGTTAAGGTGAATAAGTTAAAATATATCTTAAATATTGACCGGCTATTTTTATACCGTGATCCGAAATATTGACCTGCCATCTTTATACTGTCAATTATATCGCAATACACAAAACCTAGTGAACTATGTAATATAATTCACTCATGACCAACTTTCTGTAAATGAATTGATCATTTTCTTGTTTTACAGGCTCATCCTAAAGTAGCCCAGAAATTAAAGTCATTGGTAAAGAAATGGGCTGAAAGTTCAGAATTTAAAAGTGATCCTGCATTGAGGTTTGTATTAATTATGGCCTCATGTTGTCCACATGGGTGATATTTGAAAACATATTTAAAATTTTAATATATAAACTTAAATTTGTTAGTCATTGGTTGAGGTCAAGTTTGGTGTTGGTGACAGTCACTGTAACACGGGTATCATTTAATCTTGTGTATCTAGCACTAATTTCTTTCACATTCATTCAATATCAAATCTTTGTTTAAAAAATTATAAATATTGTTTAAAGTTTAAAGCTGACTGATTAATTTTGATAATGAGTGTCCAATTCGTTTTACATTGTGAACTCTTGCGATAATCCATTTTATCAATAGATTTTTAAATCAAATCCATTTAAATCTCGGCTATCCGATGGTCTAGAGAGTTGATTATAGGCTTGGCATGTAAATAAATGTCTAAATAATAGTTGAAAAACATTGGAGGCCAAAAGAAAGATCTGCAATAGACAGATTTAGCTCTTACATAACATTGTTTAACAGTCTAGAGGTTGGATGATCGGTCGCTGTATGGGCCAAAAAGGGACAACTGTCTAGTCGTTCGGATGGGATGATAAACCGAGGTCCCGTGTACACATTGGCGTGCACGTAAAAGATCCCTTCACAGTAGGAATTCGATATAATTTGATATGGCAACTGTCCGGGTTAAATTTCCCTTATAGCACACTGTATGGCGTATGCCCGTCTTCATTAGCCCACTTGGATTCCCACAATTTGCAGCAAAACTGTGCTACAAACGTGTATTCATTTCATTTCATTGTTTAACAAAGATATCAGCTTATATTTTACATCAATCACCTGTTTGAGAATCATTCAAATTGCAATTTTAGTTGAATCACTAATATAGTGATTTCTAATATTGTGATCTCTATTATAGAAATATTGTGATCTCTATGCTAATATTGTGATCTCTATGCTAATATTGTGATCTCTATTACAAAAATATAGTTAAGTCCTGCTAATATTGTGATCTCTATTATGAAAATATAGTTAAGTCCTGCTAATATTGTGATCTTTATTATGAAAATATTGTGATGATTTTTTGAATTTATATTCCCATGATGTGTTTCAGTTTAATTCCTGCATTTTGTGAAAGTTTAAAGAAAGATGGTGCAGATTTCACTGACCCAGATGTACAGGTTAGTATGAAACTAAATATAGATTGGACTTTTAAAACTTACATACATATATCCTCCCCCCCCCCCAAAAAAAAGCAAAAAATAAAGAAGCAACACAATACTTTAACTCATATGTGTATTATTATTTGGTGAGCAATTGTCTGAGTGGCAGTTATCATAATTATAATTTGCTATATCATTTCAACTTTATATTTTTAGCCCAAGACATCAGCCAGTTCTAATGCCAGTCAAGCTGTTAAAGAAGATGACGATTTAGCAAAAGGTAAGAATAGGAGTTGATCTCATTTTTTGTCCCATCCTTCTGACTAGGAAACACTACATGTATATACTTTGTGCTTTGCTGAACAAAGCCGCGAAGCAAGAAATTTTCTTTGCATACCTTCAAGCGCTTTACAGCCCAGCTTTGCGGAGCAGTTTTATGATAGCAATGTCTTGGTTCAAGTTCTTCACCTCGCTCAAAACATTCTAGTCAGACAGCCACTCAACAAGACATCGGCTGTTGCGATCATGTAATCAATTTAACAACACAAGACCGGCTTTGCTTAGCTTTGCTCACTACAATTGGCAAGTAAAACTTCTCATCGCGGCTATGTTTAACAGATTATAAATTGGCCTTAATACAAAGGAACCTCGTGGGTTTTCTCCGAGTCCTCCGGTTTCCTCCCACTGTTAAAGACCCCTACGCGCAAGCGAATTATTGAAATAGAAATTTTAAAAAAACATATGTTAGTCCCGAAATGACCTAGTTTGTGTCGAGTGGACGTTAAACCCCATTTCTCTCTCTGTCTCTAATACAAAGCAAACTGAAATGTGTGTTCACTAATTTGAGCAGTTGGTGAGACAACGCCAAGTTTTGACTTGAGGTTTGAAGATTAACAATGAATATTATAAAATCAAAAGCTCTGAGACAGTATTATTAGAGGTATAGATGTATAGAATTATAGTGGAGTGGAGCCAAAATGGTTGCAAGGCTTCGCACAGTTGTTATTTGTTGTTCGCTCTTATTTCAGTGAATGTACAAATGTTTGTGAAATGGTGGCCCCAAGGAAAGTTATATTGCCTATTATAAATTACTATTATTATCTCGTTTTGAACAATAGTTTAGCTATTATGACTACAGTATTAATATTGTTTTATTATTATTACAGCCATTGCTCTGTCTCTACAAGATGCTGATAAATCACAGAGTAAAACATCTAGTTTATATCCCACTGGCTTCTCTTCCTCCACATCAAACACATCTCAATCTAAACCAAGAGAAATTAGAAAGGTTTGTTCCCTATATTATTTATCTCAATGTAAACCTAGAGAAAGGTTTGTCTCTTATATCTCAATGTAAACCTAGAGTAATTAGAAAGGTTTATATTACATATATTACATATTCCAATCTAAACCTAGAGAAATTAGAAAGGTTTGTCCCCAATATCTCAATCTAAACCTAGAGAAATTAGAAAGGTTTGTCCCTTATATCTCAATGTAAACCTATAGAAATTAGAAAGGTTTGTTCCCTATAGTACTTATCTCAATGTAAACCTAGAGAAATTAGAAAGGTTTGTCCCCTATATTTTTAATCGCAATGGTTAGCATATGCGCGTTGTATCATAACGTGGGGGGTTGAATGGCCGAATGGTTAGCACATGCGTGCTGTATCATAAAGCCTGTCATTGAGTCAACTGGCGTGGTTTCGAATCCCTGGTTGTATGTTACAAGGAGCAGGGTCGCCTGTCCAACCTCGTGGGTTTTCTCCGGGTTCTCCAGTTTCCTCCCACTGCTAAAGACCCCTACGTGCAAGCGAATTATTGAAATAATTGTGTCGAGTGGACGTTAAACCCTATTTCTCTCTCTCTCTGTGTATCATAACGTCCTTCATCGAGTCAACTGCCGTGGTTTCGAATCCCCGGTTGTACGTGACAAGGAGTAGGGTCGCCTGTCCAACCTCGTGGGTTTTCTCCGGGTCCTCCAGTTTCCTCCCACTGCTAAAGACTCCTACGCGCAAGCGAATTATTGAAATAAAATTAAACCATATGTTAGTCCTGAAATGACCTAGTTTGTGTCGAGTGGAGGTTAAACCCCATTTCTCTCTCTCTCTCTCTCTCTCTCTCTCTTTCTCCAACTGCTAAAGACCACTGAGTCGCAAGGGAATTAATTATATTGTACTGTACACATAAGCTAGTTTGTCTTGTGTGGATGTTAGAACTTATTTCTCTGACTTAGTCTAGAACTAGATTAGTAATAGAGTATAATTTGACTAAATTACTGTGTAGTTATTCTTTAATCAATTGTTGATATCAGTGATGCATCACAGTTGAATGTGTTTTTAATGATAATTTATCTTCATATGAGTAAGGCCATACAAAACAGATATTCTGGAGCCTGTTTCACAAAATTTTAACTAAGATAAAATCAAAATTTTAGTAATTTGATTGGATAATATTAGATTGATTTTAGTGGTCAGCCAATCAAAATTGAAGTTTCTACTAAAATTTGGATTTTATCTTTTGTTAAGATTTTGAGAACAGGGCCCAGGTTCCATGTGTCACTTAAAAAGGGCCGCATGACTTATGTTTATTTCGAAAATAAAAAAATCAAAAAAAAAAAAATCTCATTAATAACCACATGTAAATATTTTCCCTCAGTTACATGGTAGTTTATTTACCAAATAACCTGTCCAACCTCGTGGGTTTTCTCCGGGTCCTCCGGTTTCCTCCCACTGCCAAAGACCCCTACAAGCACAAGCGAATTATTGAAATGAAATTGAACCATGTGTTAGTCCCAAAATGACCTAGTTTGTGTCAAGTGGACATTAAACCCCATTTCTCTCTCTCTCTTATTTACCAAATGACGTCAACGCAACACAAACTAGGTCATTTCGGGACTAACATGGTTCAATTTCATTTCAATATAAACTAGGTCATTTCGGGAATAACATGGTTCAATTTCATTTCAATAATTGCGCGTAGGGGTCTTTAGTAGTGGGAGGAAACCGGAGGACCCGGAGAAAACCCACAAGGTTGGTTGCTGCATCAGATTCTTTGGAAGGATAGTCTGAGAAGCAGAGTATTTGTTTTGTATGGCCTTAGTTATTTCTATTATAATGATTGATGAGTACAACAGCTGATGGTGTAATTATCTGCCTTGTTAGCTTTGATGCATCATTGCATGACAGCCATAGATGAAATACCTCTTTCATCTGTAAATAATGCAAATATTTTATGTGTAGTTTAATGATCGAAAGCGAGACATTAGGTAATATATTAATATTGCACGAGGATATTAACCCGAGTGTTGTATCAATATGTTATGCTATGTCTTGCTGGAGACCATTATAAGATAATCCAATATAATTTATGTGTAGTTTAATGGTCGAGGGTAGAGACATTAAGTAATATATTTATACTGCATGAGGGGGGTTAGGCCGGTTGTTGTTTTAACCATTTGGACCCAAACGGCAGAAAGACCGGCCCAGATGCCCCTTGGCTGCAGTACCAAGTGGCCTGTGTACCGACCGCCACAGGTTCCTGTGTGGCCAATAAGTAACGAACAGGTACCTGTGGTGGCCGATACACCAGCTGCTCGGTATTCTAGCCAAGGTGTTCTACCTGGTTTTTTGGCCGCTCAGGTCCTAAGAGTTCATAATATTACATATTAAGGAGGCTAGTATATAGGCTTAATGTCGTTCAGGGTGTCTGTGTCCAAAGGGTTAATATATTACGCAATGTCTTAAGCTCGAGACCATTAAACAAATTGAAAGACAGACACTATCAGAATGTGCGTTTAAATGAAATACGTCACGCGAGTCCAATATTTTAACTAGTATAAATAGTGTATAATTGGCATGTTGCTCGTACAATTATTTGAATGTGCAGGAGGACTGCACCACAGAAAAACAATTACACAAGACAAACCCATGTATACTACAACTCCTGAACAATGTTGAGTAATTGATTAGTCTGTTAACCCTTAACTGGTCATTGTCAACTATAGTCACCACAACGTTATACAGCTAAGTGGTCACGCACAGCAAGAACCTTTTTGATAAGCTGCATTCTAGTATTTAGTTTCATATTTAATTGATATGGCCACGCATGCGTGTCAGACAGGAACTTGTCTTGTCAAGGGCATTATGAAAAACATATCTTTGTTCAACAATTTTTGGCGAAAAACATAATTTAACGATGTCGGGAACGTTAAAGACGCTCGAAGTGGTTGAAATACTTATGAATGATTCCGACTCGGATTATATCGATGACACCGATTCTGAAGACAATATTTCTGATGAAAAGGTCTTAGAATGATTGCAAATTATACATGTAGATCAACTTATCCCCTTCAACTTTTTTTATTGGTATCAAGACTCTACCACTTTTAATTATTTGACAGTAGTCGATTGAAATAGGCATACAATATATTTCACATCAGCCTTTATTTAGCCTGACCACTTGACGTCATGACGTCAAAATGACGTCATGACGTCAAAATGACGTCGACCGGTTAAGGGTTAATTACTGAATAGTTCTTGATGTTCCTCAATGAATTTTAACAAAATGCCAACAATGGTTTGAAACTAAACATAAAATATTGAAACTCGGCTAAAACAGCGCAACTAAATGATACCTGAATTGGTAATGGTACAAGACACCTAATGTGGACATTTCAAACAATAAACAAAAAAAGTATTTATCAAATCAAGTGAATAGTTTTGTGCATTGTACGTTCTTGTGTAAATTATGTAAATGGTTTATTTAAAGGTCCATGCTTTGTATGATTTGGTGTAAATTATGTAAATTTTTTATTTAAAGGTACGTGCATTGTATGATTTTGAAGCAGCCGAAGATAATGAATTAACATTTAAAAGTGGAGAATTAATCAGTGTTTTGGATGATAGGTTAGTATGAAACATGTTTTTTCCTAAGATGTTGGCGCTCTTGGCCGAAAAATTTTGTTAGGATTTTTCCGTACAGAATGCCTGGCAAGGGACAGCGTGCAGTTGTTCGGTTAGGACGGAAATCTGAGGTCCCGTGTACACATTGGCGCACACATAAAAGAACCCATTGACGCCATAGCGCTGCTGTCTGGGCAAAATTACCACCATATCACACTGTATGGTGTATTCATAGGCTGTATGTGTGTAGTTGACCTTGTTTTAAAATATCCTCAATCCGAGTGTTGTCTAAGAAAGTTCCTCAGTGGTTTCAAGGTTCCATGTACTACATGTTGGCATGAATGTAAAATATCACTTGACTGTTGAAATTCAACGAAGAGTAGACGGAAAAACCCAGGCAGAGTTTTCCTCCTAGCCCAATCATCTATGGCAAGGTTTGGGGGCATTTGTGTGGAACTTTTCACCACAATAAAAAGAAAATGTTTCATAAATATTTCATTGTCCACTTTTCCAAATGCCCCCCAAACCTTGCCATGTTTAAGCCCAATAGGATGTTCAACAGTCAGATCTATTTACCAAGGCCACCTACAGATTTCCTTAAGGTCACAAAATATAGGGCACGTGATTGTGTCCGACGGTTTGGGTAAGGCTTAGGGCTAGGTTTTGGGTTAGGGTTAGGGTTAGCGCTAGCCCTGTTTACATCTTGTGACCATGAGGAAATCTGCAGGTGGCTTTGGTAAATAAGTTTAGCCGTGTTCAACCCCATTTCATTTGTATGTTTTGAACAGTGATTTTAATTGATGGATAGGGTATAATCATATTATGTTACAGTGATTCTAATAGTAATTGGTGGAAAGAGTATAATCATATTATGTTATTTTGTTACAGTGATCCTAATTGGTGGAAAGAGTATAATCATATATGTTTTTTTGTTACAGTGATCCTAATTGGTGGAAAGGGTATAATCATAGAGGTGAAGGGTTATTTCCTGCTAATTTTGTTACAGCTGATTTAACAGTTGAACCTGAAGATAGTAAGTCAATTATTAATTATTGTTCCCTGCCTTTTCGAGTCTGCTCTCCAAATAAGAACATGATATCACCGTTTGACATGACTTGTGGAATATGTCTAGCCTCATTCTTTGAGCACCTTGTTACATATGGCGCTGAAACGCATTATGGTACACGATTCGTGTACCAATTGTGAAATGTTTATTTTGTCTTAAATATTGGATATCAGAGACCCATCTTTTCCCTGTAAGATCACAACACCAATGCTGATTTAAATTGCAAAAAAATCGTGTTTTCAATGTCGAAGATTTTGGATGATATTGAGTTACGGACTTCGCTACTTTAAACATTAGAGGTTTTTTTTGTAAAAACAGTATTTTATTCAGGATATCTGCATGCAATTGGCGAACAGGCTTCTCCCTGTTAATGAAGTGTTAGTGTATATAATAATAATAATAATAATGTAAACTGTTTATTTCATCAGGTAAACCAGAGAAAAAGACCGTGCAATTTAATGAAGAAGTACAAGTAAAAACATTAGAATTAACACCAGAAGAGGTGGTCATAGATGAGGTTTGTTGACATTATCCTCTCTAACATCTACAGTACAATCTCATTAAAACACAGATCCTATTTCGTTTCGTTTTTTATAGTTCAAAATTTCGTTTTACTTGTCTTTGCTACACTAGGATCTGGAAGAGTAGTTATATAACCCACGTTCTGGATGATGTGAGGGATTAGCCAATGGTTGAAGTGAGGGATTAGCCAATGAAACGGTCTGTTATGGCCAGTTCTTGGCGTTTGATGCAAGAAACTGTGGGTAAATCACTAGAAACTTCAACGCTGATTGATTAATCAATGTCTGACGTCATAGGGTCAAAAGCCGTTTGTACGACCCCTGACGCGACTTTCCAGTACAACCAGTCAGATCTTCATGTAGTGTTGGTCATCGAAAGTATAAAAAACGAAACGAAATATAGATCTGTATTTTGTTCAGATTGTCCACAGTGTCTCAGTGAGTCAGATGCTAACCAGACGATCTCAGGCTCAATCCTCGTGTTAGCCTTGGTTTCCCATAATCTGTAGTGTGCAGGACGACTTAATGTGTATAACCTGTCTTCATGTTGGGGCTGAAAAGTAGGTTGTTAAGGGTTGGGGGCTACCCGAAAAATGCTTTCTGAAATTCTAAAGCTAGTGAATAAAAGATGGCACAAGTAGTTAGGAAATGTAATTAACAAGGGAAAACTAACATTAAGAAAAAAGAAAAAAAAGTTGTTGCCAGGGTAACACATTTTTTTGGAAAAAGTATGAGAAACGTAGGTACACCATATCTCTGATAATAATAAAGATAAATGTCTCATTTTAGGACTGCATATTCTTTAATGATAACCCCAAAACCAGACAGAGAGTTTTTCTCTATAATTTTTATAATTTCTTGGAAAATGGTGTTTAAAACATTTGCTTCACCACAATATTTTGTCTTTGGAGAAATATTTTGATAACTTTTGAAATATTAATGATAATTCAAATTGCTTTCTGTCTGATTCTGTGGTAGATATTAGTTTATATACCCTGCAAATTTGGCGAAGATATCTTAATTAGTTACAGAGATATAGTGTACCTACAGTTTTTTTCATAATTTTTTCCCCAAAAATGAGTTACCCTGGCAACAACTTTCTTTTAATGTTAATTTTCCCTTCTTTATTACATTTTCTAACTACTTGTACTATTTTCAATTCAACAGCTTTAACATTTCAGAACAAAAATTTTCAGATAGCCTCCCCCCTTAAAATTTCATTGGATTTCTTCTCTATTATATTACATCTGGCAAATTGTGTTTTTTGTTGCCTGGCAAGCTATCTTTATTTGCTCAATCTTCTTCTCTTTATTGTTAATAAGGCTAAATGGTTAGCGTGCGCGCGCTGTATCATAAAGTCTGTCATTGAGTCGACTGGCGTGGTTTCGAATCCCCGGTTGTACGTGGCAAGGAGTAGGGTCGCCTGTCCAACCTCGTGGGTTTTCTCCGGGTCCTCCGGTTTCCTCCCACTTCTAAAGACCCCTACGCGCAAGCGAATTATGTAAATAAAATTGAACCATGTGTTAGTCCCGAAATGACCTAGTTTGTGTCGAGTGGACGTTAAACCCCATTTCTCTCTCTCTCTTTATTGTTAATAAAACAGTTTATTTGTTTTTCAGAATAAAATAGATGAAGTATTAACATTGATACAGAATGCTGATCCTACAGGAGAAAGAGAACCTGATTCAGCGGAAATGTTGGCATTAGAAGGTATAAAATCAGACAGGGGTCTTCAGAGAGAGAGAGAGAGAGAGAGGGAGGGAGAGGGTTTAAGTGCACTCCACACAAACTAGGTCATGACACAAACTAGGTCATATCGTGCCAAAATATTTCATTTAATCGCTTGCACGTAGGGGTCTTTAGCAGTGGGATGAAACCGGGGGACCCAGAGAAAACCCATAACGTTAGACAGGCAATCCTACTCCTTTTCATGTGCAAGCAGGGAATTGAAATCACGCCACTTGACTCAATGACAGACCATTTGATCCAACATGCGCATGTTAACTATTCGGACACCCAACCCCCCTGCAATAGATATGAGATAAAAGCTGTTTTAACTTTCAATTTATGATTGGACCACATTTTGTGTTGATTTTCAACAAGTTTAACAAAATATGTAACTATAAGTTGGCCAGTACTTTAAATTTTTTATAATGAGGCTACTCTAAGTTTATCTTATATGATATGATTTTATTCAAATTTAATACATTCTTGGTGAAAATAATATAATTATATATTGATCTGTTTTTATTTTAGAACAATGTAAACAGATGGGACCATTGATAGATACAGAATTAGAAAAAATAGATAAGTAAGTGTGATCATGACATATGTATATATGAAGTTAAGTGAAGGGATATTGAAATCGAGGCCATCTATCTGTCTGTCCTTTGTTAACTCTGTGAGTGACAGGAAGTTTCGCATGCGCAGGGAATAGGTGTAAATAGGCATGATTGGGTATGGGGGCATTAGTTGCGTAGATCACCGCGATATTTAGATCCGATATTTAAACTTATTGTATATCTATATGCACTGTAACCCGACTATCATTTAATCTTGTGTATGCAGCACTAATTTTTAGTGCAAAGTTGTCCTTGTTTGAACAAAATCGGATAAACTTGAAAGAAAAACGGTTTCAGACTTTGAAATATTTGTATGATAAAACATTCTTCAAAGGCATCGTCATGGGCAACGCCGTTGATAATCCGGGAAAGTAGTTCCAATGGCTAGATGTAGGGTACTGGAATCTGTGGGCTTAGTTGCAATAAAAGGCAAGTTACTTCTCTTCGCTCACTTGATTGATCGATAAAAATAGCTCACTTATCAAGGGCAGATAATTTGACTGTGTCTCCCTCCGTGAATGAACCCCAGGGTATTGGTCAATAGAACGGAATGATACCACTGGGTGATACCAAGGATGATGTTGAGTGAGTTATTTGATATGAAATATTTGTATTATTACAGGAAACATGCAGATTTATATTGTTAGAGCAAACATGTTGAGTTATTTGATATAAAATATTTATATTATTACAGCAAACATGCAGATTTATATTGTTATAGGAAACATGTTGAGTGAGTTATTTAATACCACGGGGGATACCAAGGATGATGTTGAGTGATTTATTTAAAATGAAATATTTATATTATTACAGGAAACATGCAGATTTAGTAGATTTAAATAAGAAAGTAATAGATGCGTTACAGATGTATCATCAACTGATGAAAGAACAACCGTATGGTGTATACCAGAAAAATACACCCGTTTATTCTGGTGGACCTGGTATGATGGTTCAACCACCTTCAACACAGGTAACATTTCTTTAAAGATGGGTTCCCAGAAAAGTATTTTTATCGGGTGGTTATTTCCAATAAAAGTATGGTAATTTTGGTATATATGGAAAGTAGAGATATCCAATCTTACTAGAAAAATACTGGATTCCCCGAAAAACACTCATGGAGCGTATGCAGGACAAAAATGTAAAGGTTCCCCTAATCAACAGCCCGACAATTAGGAATTTCTGCACACGTGATGTCAAAGGTCACACGCGAACATTGAGCGCTTGATGTACAAGTTGATAAACTTTAGACGTACAACACTTTCTGAGATAAAAATGACGGAAAGAGACGCGGGTAGTGAATAATCTGAGAATTTATTTAGGATTCGATATTTGTAATAAATAGTAAGCGATAAAAGACAACATCGTCTTATGTATGCAATGAATTCTCCTCCGGCTTCCAAGAGAGGTAAGTCACGTGACGTAAACATGACCTGATTTGATCGAATTTTTATAGCAGGACATTCCTTCGCAATTACAATGTTTGAGAAGGATTTGAAGCAAAGTTATGACAAATTAATTAGTTTGAATATGTTTTTAGTCCATATATACCATTAAATCACCCAGTCTGTACGCGGGAACCCATCTTTAATATCATATTTATTTTATTCAGTCATCATTTTGGTGACCTGAGGGTTCCCCACTTGTGCATGACAAGGAGTAGGGTCACCTGTCCAATCTTGCGAGTTTTCCCCGGGTCCCCCGGTTTCCTCCAACTGCTAAAGACCCCTACACGCAAGCGAATTATTGATATAAAATTGAACCATATGTTAGTCCCGAAATGACCAAGTTTGTGTCGAGTGGACGTTTAACACCATTTCTCTCTCTGTCTCTCTCTCTGTCTACTTATTCACAGGGGATGGAAAACTGAGATCCCAGTTCTCACATAACAAACTACTTCACATATGCCTGAATTCATTAACCTAATAGTAATGATGATGACCTCATTAGCCTAATTGTAGTAATGATGACCTCATTAGCCTAATAGTAATAATGATGACCTCATTCACCTAATACTAATAATAATGACCTCATTAGCATAACAGTAATGATGATGACCTCATTAGCCTAATTGTAATAATGATGACCTCATTAGCCTAATTGTAAGATTGATGACCTCATTAACCCAATTGTAATAATTATGACCTCATTAGCCTAATTGTAATAATGATAACCTCATTAGCCTAATTGTAATAATGATGACCTCGTTAGCCTAATTGTAATAGTAGGCTTGTCTTCATTAGTGCGATTGGTTCAGAAAAGTAAAATGTCAAATGCTATTTCCTTTCATTTCATTGGTTTCTTTTCTTTTTTTCCAGCATGTGTATAATGGAGGCCCACAATATGTTCCACCTGGCATGAACACACAACAACCAGGAGCAATACCACCACATATGGCTGGTCAGATGGGTGTGGCACCTCAATCCATGCCCCAAGCAATGGGAGGAGCACCGTCAAACATGGGGCCCCAAGAAAGTTTTACAAACATAAATTCTAGTCAAGGTTATACAAGGTAAGTTTTAACCTGTTTATTTAGGGGGGGGGGGGGGGTGGATGTCCGAATGGTTAGCACTGCGTGCTGTATCATACGGCTTGTCATTGAGTCAACTGGCGTGGTTTCGAATCCCCGGTTGTACGTGACAAGTAGTAGGGTCGCCTGCCCAACCTCGTGGGTTTTCTCCGGGTCCTCCCGCTGCTAAAGACCCCTACGCGCAAGCGAATTATTGAAATAAAATTAAACCATGTTAGTCCCAAAATGACCTCGTTTGTGTCGAGTGGACGTTAAACCCCATTTCTCTCTCTCTCTCTCTTTTTATTTAGGTGTGCTGAATGAGATCTGTAATATAGTGTTGGTGGGGGGGGAGGGGGCCTGAATAGTCAACGGTTGCACGTTGAATCATAAGGTCTGTCATTGAGTCAAGTGGTGTGGTTTTGAATCCCTGCTTGTACGTGACAAGAAGTAAGGTCGCCTGTCCAGCCTCATGGGTCTTCTTCGGGTACTCCGTTTTCCTCCCACTGCTAAAGACCCAGAATTATTGAAATAAAATTGAACCATATGTTAGTCCCAAAATGACCTAGTTTGTGTTGGGTGGAGCTTAAAAGACACCTCTCTCTCTGTCTCTTGCTAATTAGATCTGGCCCCAAGTTCACAAATCATTCTCAGACTTAAGTTGAGAATTTACTCAACTTTCAATCACTGTTTATGAAAAATATCTTTGATCCAGAAACACTAAACTTTGCACATAGTTTCTTATTGATGTATTTGATACATTAAAACAACACAAGTTTTATAAAGGTCTATATTTTAGTTAAAACAAGGAGAACAATTTTGAGTAAATTCTCAACTTAAGTCTGAGAATGCTTTGTGAACTTGGGGCCTGATTTAATAATCTTTGTGTTTCCATGGAATCAAATTGAACTTAGTTTCTAGAACACAAGTCTGTCGATGACAGTCATATTCAACCCTAATATATCCAGAGCATATATAAATTGTTTAGGATATCCAGAGCATAGAAATTGTTTAGGATATCCAGAGTATTGAAATTGTTTAGGATATCCAGAGCATAGAAATTGTTTAGGATATCCAGAGCATATATAAATTGTTTAGGATATCTTTATGAAACTTTGTACACAGATTAATCTCTTATAATCATTGTACCTTTTGCTAAATTTTGCTAGAAATTTCACATTAGATATTTTTGGGTTTCCATGGAAACTAATTGAACTGAGTTTTTGGTATACAATGGCGCAGGATACTGATGACTGAATTCGCTGGTTCAAATTTAATTAGTTATTCAATTTTACTTTTTTTTGTATTTCAGCATTCCTAATCAAATTCATCAGACAACGTACGCTAATGTCCCAAACATGTCTTTACCGCAAAATATTCAACAAAATGGCGGTCCCGGTGGTATGTCAATGGGTTATAATATGGCCCCACCTAGCATGATTTCACAAGCACCGGTTTATCAGTCTGCACAACAGCCATTGTTGTGAATTATTTACACGCAAACTTTTATTATTATATGTGATATATGTAAAATAATATTAATATGACACAAATTAAGGCCACACCAATTTGAAGTTTTGTTTTTCGCCCAGGCCTGGAAATACGGTTAAAAACACAGGCCTGGAAGTATGGGTAATAACACAGGCCTGGAAATACGGTTTAAACCACAGGCCTGGAAATATAGTCAAAAACACAGGACTGGTAATACAGTTAAAAACACAGGCCTGGTAATAGGGTTAAAAACACAGGCCTGGTAATATGGTTAAAAACACTGGCCTGGAAGTATGGTTAATAACACTGGCCTGGAAATACGGTTTAAAACACAGGCCTGGAAATATAGTCAAAAACACAGGCCTGGTAATACAGTTAGAAACACAGGCCTGGAAATGCAGTTAGAAACACAGGCCTGAAAATAACAGTGTTATGCAAGAGCTAAATCTGCCTACAGTTCACTTTTTAATAGGAGATTTGAGTGGCTATTGATTTATCCGATACCTTGAAGAACTAATATTTAAATTGGTTTGGTCTGAACAAATATAACATCATGTTTTTCTATACACGTACGTTTAATATGAACAGATAGAGTTGTCTCCCCTTGTCTGTCTACGTTAACAGAAGTTTACAAAGCTTATTATGTTTTAATTTCCACACCATTTTGGATGAATGTGTAAATGATTTAAATTTTGCCCCAAACTTGTTTTGTTTTTTTCTAAAAAAAAAAAAATAAAGAAAAAAGAATCCTTAATATATTTTAACCCTTCAGAATCTGATACATGTAAATAGATAAACTCAAAGTCATGTTTTTTTTTTCTTTACATTGAGTTTCGTAGCTGATTTTTTAAACTCCATGAATTACAAAATGTGTGTTAAATAGTTTTATTTAATGTCCATTTCCACTGAAGTGATATCACCAACAGTTACATTATTATGTGATACTAACGGACGACCTGGCGCTGCACGGGTTGAAAGTAGTAGAAGTCCGAAACCGGACGCGGTCGTTCATCACCAGTGGGCCTATGTTACTCCCGGATTCGAGCTACCCTCTTCATAGTGATATCACCAATAGTTACATTATTATAATATACTAATCGATGACCTGGCGCTACACGGGTTGAAAGTAGTATAAGTCCGAAACCGAACACAGTCATCCATCACCAGGGGGCCTATGTTACTCCCCGATCTGAGCTACCTCTATACATCAAATTTCAGCCTCGGGGGACAGCCCTAGTGTAGCAACCAACCCTGAACAAACCAATAAATTACAGTCACAAATATTAGTATAGATAAAGTAAATTTGACCCGGTGCCTGTTTCACGAAATTTTAACTTAAGATAAAATCCAAATTTTAGTAAATACTTCAATTTTGATTGGCTAAGCACTAAAATCAATCTAATATTTTCCAATCAAATTACTTAAATTTGGATTTTAGTTAAAATTGTAGTTAAAATAACGTGAACAATTTTGAGTAAATTCTTAACTTAAGTCTGAGAATGTTTTGTGAAACAGGGGCCCAAACAAGCAGTGGTTTCAAATGGTCTTGGTCAGTCCAAGTCGTCTTGGGTCAGTCCAAGTGCTGGGGGGGGGGGGGGGGCGGGGGTTAAATAGTATAAATATTGTTTTGTTCAAATCTATTTATTAGTATTACAAGTCTATAATATTTATCTTTTAACTTTACAACTGCCATTAACATCACTCGGCAAACCTCAGCAGACTCTAGTACCCTATATCTAGCCTCAGCTGTATGACGAAGTCCGCCATTGGATCTATTTTCAAGTTCCCAGATTACTAATGGCGTTGCCCACGATGAAGCCTGTGAAGAGTGTTTTATCATACAAAGCTTTCAATGTCTGAAGCTGTTTTTCTTTCATGTTTATGCGATTTTGCAATGAAAACTCTTCACACTCTTCGAACAATGCAATTTTGAGAGTTTCTTTCTTAAAGCAGCAAGTTTTCCTGTTAAGTAAACCGGTAGCCGCATCGCAATTGTATAAGTGTAGGTACATATCATTTACCGTCATACAGCCGAGGCTAGATGTAGGGTACCAGAGTTTGCCAAGTGCCATTAACATGGCTCTGTAATATCCATCTTGAAACTGTATAACTATAGGGTAATCATTTAATTTGCTAGTTCACTATTCTCATATGCCGTGAGAAGTCCCATAAGGATTATTCCAGTTTGGCCTTCACTAGTGAAGGGTGGCATTTGTGAAGCTTACAACGAAAGTAGACATTCTCCTGGCTTGGATTATATAAAGAGGCCCATCAAAAGAATCTGTGAAAGTCATTACGGCTCTGACCCATCTTGACTACATCCCATATATAACATTGCAACCCGGGTATCATTTAATATTGTGTATTTAGCACTAATTTCTTTTACATTCATTCAAGATCAAACCTTTGTTTAAAAATTCGTAAAAATTGTTTAAAATCACCAAAAATCATCCGATTTGTACTTGTGTCCAGTTTAAAGCTGACCATTCAATTTTGATAACCAATGTCCAATTTACAAGTGTTTAATATCACTGTTAAAAAATAAACAACGGATTATTGATGTATAATAATTAATTTTTAAACAGTGGTCAGTAAATCAAATACTTGTAAATTGGGCACTCATTATCAAAATTATCAAAACCCGGGTTACAGTGTAATCTGCAGTGGATATTGAATGTTGTGAAATTTTCAATTCATCATAGCTTTGTATACTAAATGGATTTGAACTATGGCTTATATTCCTTTTAGAGTTTCAACTTCCACAATATTTTAATTTTCAAGGGATTCAAAACACCCCAAACTATTTCTGATTAAAACACAGATCCTATTTCGTTTCGTTTTTATAGTTCAAAATTTTGTTTTACTTGTCTTTACAACACTAGGACTTAGAAGAGTTTTTATATAGCCAGCGTTCTGGATGATGTGAGGAATTGACCAATGAATCAGTCTGTTGCAGTGAGTTCTTGGCTTGCGATGCACTAGAAACATCAATGCTGATTGGTTAATCAAATGTCTGACATCATAGGGTCAAAAGACGCTCGTATGACCCCTGACGCAACCTCCCACTACAACCAATCAGATCTTTAAGAGTTTCAACTTACACAATATTGTAGTTTTTAAGGGATTCAAAATACCCCAAATAACGTTCAGAGGCTTTACACTATTTCTGTATTTAATATATGTATGTAGCCATTTATATCTTTATTTACCAATCTCCACATAATCTCACACATTTTATAAATTCTCTTCCTTAATTTACACTTTAAGGTCCGTGCTAAGCACGGTAAGGGCATTAGACTCTCAACTCAAATATTCATATTCTGTCTTTATATATAACTCTAACATCATCAGAAAATCAATTTATGAGTCGGTTGCATGTACATTTTCAAAATGTTTCATTTATAAATTTTATTATAGTACAGTTTTATTTCAATATTTTTTTCAAGCATCATGATAGTATTTCTAGATTACTTGTTGCACATTGAAGCAAAGTTGTCATATTTACAAGTTCAGGGGTTAATAAAACCCAAATTGGTTTGAAGTAGGGTTCACAGTGCTGTCATGTTTGGATGTGAAGTCAGGTTCGCAGTGCTGTCATGTTTGGGTGGAAGTAGGGTTCTCAGTGCTGTCATGGTTGGATGTGAAGTAGAGTTCCAGTGCTGTCATGTTTGGATGTGAAGTCAGGTTCGCAGTGCTGTCATGTTTGGGTGGAAGTAGGGTTCTCAATGCTGTCATGCTTGGGTGGAAGTAGGGTTCTCAGTGCTGTCATGTTTGGGTATGACGTATGGTTTTCGGTAATGTCATGTTTGGGTGAATTTACAAACGTGTGTATGGTATTAACATTTAATACAATTGTCCATATAACCAGGGCTCTTGTTGAGTAATATTTACCTGTCTTTCTACTGATTGGCAGTGAAATTGACCAACTGGACAACTTACACCTGTCAATCAATTTACATAGAATAATTTGTGTTTTCATTCAATAACACTTGATACAGTTGTCCATATATGGTATGAGAGAATGTTCTCTTTTCATTCATAATTACAAATCTTGATTGACTGGCAGTAACCAGCTGGTGAACTCACCTGTCAACATATATATGCTATAAAACTAGAGTTTAACCTTCAATTTAACACAATAAAAACACAGATTTAGAAATATAATTAAAATTAGGATGGATAATACTAAAAAAAAATTTAAAAATATCTTGCTATTAATCCAATTTGATTAAAACACAGATCCTATTTTGTTTCGCTTTTTATAGTTCAAAATTTCGTTTTACTTGTCTTTACTACACTAGATCTGGAAGAGTTGTTATATAACCCGCAGTCTGGATGATATGAGGGATTAGCCAATGAAACGGTCTGTTGCAGCGAGTTCTTGGCGTGCGATGCACGAAACTGTGGGTAATCTATTAAAAACATCAATGCTAATTGGTCAAAAGACGCTTTTCTGACCAAATGCAACTTTCCACTACAACCGGTCAGATCTTCATGTAGTAGAGGCCATTGAAAATATAAAAAGAAAACAGAGCGAAATATAGATCTGTATGTTAATCTTAACGCAAGAAATTGGAAATAGGACCCTGGTATGCAATACCACAAAATTATTTGTAATGAAACATAACAGTTATTGTGCAGTATTTAATTGTATATTGTTGAGTGAAGAAGGATATGCGAGAGAATGTGTTTGTTTTTTTTTTGTTAAAACATTTTTAGACTATATATTATATCCTAATGAAAGTGATAGGTTTTGTGGGGTTTTATTATTAGTGTATTATGTAGTAAAATTAGTAGAAGTACTGTATATGTGTATATAATATGTGTTTATTGTATATATTCATGTTTAATTATTATTCGATGTAATTACGATAATAACGCTTTTCCATGCCACAGGTCGATTTTAAAAAAATTTGAACAAAAAACAACCTGGAAAGTTTGACATGTGACCACTTGCAGAAAAGCTCTTGGAGAATGCTGTTTATCAAGGGGTCATATGTCAAGGTTTCAACAACAGACGAAAATATTCCAAATTTTCAATTGGTCTGTGGCACTGTAAAAGGTAATCAGTTGAATAACAACAGAGGCAAAAAGAAGTATGTATATATGAAATGTACAACTAAAATATTAATAAATGGAGTACATGTCATTCGTGTTAATTATGTGTGTGGTATTTATCAGTACAGTCCAATTCATAAGCAGGGGTTGGGTGGTTTAATGCGTGATTGACCGTCTAAAAACCTCAGCATCTGTCGCAGAAGTAGGCTAATTGGAGTTTAACGATCTACTCTTCCTCACCAACTGGGCTAATGAATACACACAACATGCAGTGTGCTATCGGGGAAATTATACCCAGACATTGTCACCTACTCTTTGTCAAATTCAAACTGTCATGGGGTTCTCTTATGGGACCTCAAGTAGGTACTGTTCCTTGCAAGGCCCTCCATCCTGCACCACTGACATGGGAACCCTCCACCCTGCACCACTGACATGGGAACCCTCCAACCTGCACCACTGACATGGTAACCCTCCAACCTGCACCACTGACATGGGAACCCTGCACCACTGATATGGGAGCCCTCCAACCTGCACTACTGACATCAAGAAACGACACTGAAAAATCCTGAGATATTTTCTAAACAAACCAGGATCGGACATGGGACCATCTGGTTAGTGACACAAACTAGGTCATTTCGGGACTAACATATGGTTTAATTTTATTTCAATAATTCGCTTGTGCGTTGGGGTCTTTAGCAGTGGGAGGAAACCGGGGAAAACCCACAAGGTTGGACAGGCGACCCTACTCCTTCTCACGTACAACCGGGGATTCGAAACCACGCCAGTTGACTCAATGACAGGCCTTATGATACAGCACGCACATGCTAACCATTCGGCCATCCAACCCCCCCATCTGGTTAGTGAGTCCACATGTTGCTACATGTATTTCCAAAAATGTCTTGTACCTAAATAAAGGGGCATAACTCTTAACATTATATAAATAGGAAGATTCGGACCAGAATTAAAAATCACTTGTCAACAAAATATTCAAATTTGTACGTCTTACTCACTGGAAAAGATCAAAACTGTTGACATTCACAAATCCCTAATCAGGGTGTGCAAAACTCGGAACACTTAAAATTCCCGGAGTTTTCCAGGAGTTATTTGCCAGATACCCGGAGTCCCTGTATATAATTCTACATCATAATGTATTTTTTTTACGCTTGAAGAACATTGTTCATCTGACTCAATTTACGGTGACGAACTCATGTACTTTTGAAGAAACATTCGCTGACAACGTTCAGTTTTATATCTTAAAATATACAGCGAAACCACAAATGTTAATTTTCCAGGAGTTTCAAGGAGTAATCTTGTCTTTCAAGGAGTGTGCGAACCTTGCTAATAAATAAGCAACCAACAATATAATTGTTAAACTGATGATATTTATTTGAGTGAGATGATAATATATACAAAACAACTGAGTTATAAATTATTTAAATACAACAGTATGTAACATAGATCCTAGACATTGTACAATATTCTTGGTCATCAATACATCCACGTGTTCTTCCAAATGACGCTTCGGGTCCTGTAATATATAGAAATGAAATGAAATGGGGTTTAACATCCTACTGTTCGGCTCAAACTGGGCTAGTGGAGACGCTTACGCCATACAGTGTGCTATGAGGAAAATGTTGCCTGGGTGGCGGCACTATGGCCTACTTTTATATCGAATTCAACTGCCAAGGGATATTTAACGTGCACGCCAATGTATACACTGAACCTCGGTTTTTCGTGCCATCCAAACGACTAGACAGCTGTCCTTGCCAGGCCATCTTGCACCACTGACCAGGGGAAACCACAGTGGAAAATCCTGATGAATTTTCTCGGCCAATGCAGGGATCGTACATGCGACCTCCAGGCTAGCGAGCCAGCGTCTTACCCACTTAGCCAGCGTGACTCCCCTCTATTATATAGAACATACAAACATGACAATCTTGTTGTTAAAACTACTAGGGTCTAATGTCCTACTTTTCTGCAGCAAAATGTAATGACCACTGGCATACAATATGCTATAAGTATGAAAGAAATTTTGCCAAGACAGTCGCCTTTCTATCTTCTCTTATTTCAAATTCCAACATGTCGATTTATCGATCCATCCAAATTTGTTAAATGGTTCACTCTTGTGTGGACAAAAAAAAAAATCGTATAAAAATGCTAAAGTAGGCTTTAATAACGAATTCTTAGAGAGCTGGTGCTCTCCTTTGTTACTGATGGATCCTATACACAAGTAATATGAAAATAATGCTTTTCCCCCATTCCTAAATTTGGAATATTGGCTGAGCATGACTTTCAGTGGATCATTTCAAATGAATTTTGATTGTGTTTTTGGATCGCCAAATTCTACATGAAAATAGTGTTGGATTATTATAAATTTGTGTCGGATGTGGCAAGAAATGATTCCTTAAGGTGAACAAAGAAGAATCACAGCGAAAAATAGACGGTAAGGATTCAAAAATAGCCTTAGAACCGAGATGGGGGAAAAGCATTATTTTTATATTATTTGTGTATAGGATTTGTCAGTAACCAAGGAGAGCACCAACTAAAGTAACTAATGTAGGGTAACAATAGAAACCTTGTATCTACTAACCTGTTTACCAACATTTTTTATAGCCAATTGTTCTTGTGTCATAGATTCTTCTTCTTCTAAAGCCTGTTGATAAACATTATATATCGTTATATAGCACAGTCGAACATTGATTTAAGACATTGAACTCAAACCGAGAGATGCCAGGCATCGAAATACGTCTACTAACACCGGTAGTATTGTTCATATGCTAGCCATGAAAGGGGTAAAGGCAGACAAAATGACATTGGGTTTAATATTTTATTTTTCTGGATATAACCAGGCTTTCTTTAAGGAGTTCTTGCCTCCTTCCAATGAATTCAAATTGTTGAAAACTCTTTTACATGCGTGCCAACAAGTACACAGGCGAACCTTGGTTTCAGTATCCATCAGAAAAAACTAGACACTTTTCCATGCCAAGATAGAAACCTGGGTGGACAATTGGGATTGAACCAGTGACGGGATTTCAAAATATTTCTTGTCAGACATTTTTACTGAAAATAGTCAATCAAGGCAGATAAAGTAGTTAATTAAGGTAGGTGTATAGACGGTATAACACGATAAATATGTTGATCACTTAATTACCTAATCAATCCAGCCTATTATCAACGATAATTGAGTTGGGTGGTAGATATACACTCAGTACACTATATTAATTTTGTAATTTTGAATATCATTCAACATGTCTTGATGTCCGATTGGACATATTCCAATTTAGAACGTTTGGAAAATAGCGTCGGACATGTCCGGAATATAAGGGCGAAATCCCATCAATGGATTGAACCCTGAACCTCCCATATAGTATAACAACATAGACAGGTATGGCGACACATGAGCAGACAGAACATAAAGGATTTAATCAATGTAGTAAATGCCACCTTACCTTGTGATAATTTTTAGCCAAGTCCAACATTTCTTGTACAACTTTCTCATTCAAAGTACAATGTGTATTATAATCTTCTAACACCAGACCATCAACCCAACTCTTCTTATTGAGATTTAATAACATCTGTAACATAATAACAATACTTGTACATAACATAATAACAATACTTGTACATAACATAATAACAATACTTGTATATAAAACTTGTATATAACATTAACAATACTTGTACATAACATATTAACAATACTTGTATTTAACACAATAACAATACTTGTATAAAACACAATAACAATACTTGCAATAACATAATAACAATACTTGTTTATAACATAATAACAATATGTGTATATAATACAAATACAACAACACTACTTGTAAAATATCACAGTAACAATACTTGTATATCATACAGTAACAATGACTGATCGCCATTGACATATTTTAACACTGTATCATGACACTAGCTTGTTTATATCGTCTAAAACGATGCCAATTTTATGACTTTTTCAATTCATCTGATATCTTCTGATATTCCATTTAGAGATCAAATTTTCACAATTTTGTAGATTGCAAGGGATTTAAAATCCATCAATTTACTATGTCCTGTTTGAAAGTTATGAATCTTACCTTTTGTTCCAGTTCATTTTTCCTGTAATTAATAGCAATAGAGTAATAGTGACGATTTAAACCATGAATAAGTGCCTGTAATTAAAAAATAATACACAGATACAGTGATAATCACAAACCATGTTTCTACATCATGAACTATTTTTATCACAGACAGTTCATTTTCTATTGTATAAGAGAGAGAGAGAAATGGGGGTTAACCGACACAAACTAGGTCATTTTGGGACTAACATATGGTTTTTAATTTTTTATTTCAATAATTCGCTTGCGCTTAGGGGTCTTTAGCAGTGGGAAAAAAACGGAAGACCCAGAGAAAACCCACGAGGTTGGACAGACGACCCTACTCATACTCACGTACAACCAGGGATTCAAAACCACGCCAATTAACTTAATGACAGGCCTTTTGATACAGCGCGCACGTGCTAACCATTCGGCCATCCAACCCCCCTCTATTGTATAAATGAAGACATGTAATTATTGAGGAATATTACAGAGTCTGGTTTCACAAAACATTGTCAGACTTAAGTTAAGAATTTACTCAAAATTGTTTGCCTTATTTTAACCCTTTATAAAATTGGATGCTCTTTATCAAAATTAATCAATCATCTTTAAATTTGACACAAGTCCAAATTAGATGACTTTGGGTGATTTTAAATGATTTTTACGAATTTTCAAAGGTTTGATATTGAATGAATGTGAAAGAAATTATTGCTCAATACACAAGATTAAATGATAACTGGGTTACAGTAAGCTGATGACTATGGTGGTCAGTAATAGAAGTTTAGTTTTTTTTAAACAATATTTTATTCAGAAATTGAAAGGGATTGAGGAACAGGCATAGCCTATATAAGGGAAATGAAATGAAATGAAATGTGGTTTTATGGCACGTCAGCTCAACCGGGTTATATTGCGCCAAACATATGGTGAAAATTACGAGACAGGCTAAATTATATCACAGAAAACCATTATATGCATAAATAAAAACAATATCACAGTTAATAAAATTAAAAATAAAATACAACTTTTATGCATATAAATATTAAATACAAAAATGACATGATATATATATATATATACAATTAAAATTTATTATAAAAACCTGTCTCCTTTAAAAAGTCTAACACTTTACCATATAAACCCGGTTGGGCAAACATGTGATATATACGTACCTGTATTGAAGGTTTATGTAAATGACCTAAATTAGATGTTGTTTGTCTTGGTTCTTGTCCTAATACCATCATATTCGGGTTAATCAATCGGAAAGCGTCTATCACCACCTATAAAGAAAGACAGAAATGGGGTTTAACTTTGATTTAATATAAACATAAATACAGTACTTTTATGTTTCAATATATCGCATTGGTGCAGAATTCTTTAGGAAACAAAGCTGGAGAAAACCTACAAGATTCAGCAGGTGACCCTCCTCCTTGTAATGTAAAGATGTGATCGAAACCACACCACATGACTCAATGACAGATAGTTAGTTGATCCAAAACCAAATTTCTACCTTATTTGATATTTGGCAGCTTGTCGTCGACACAAATACACAGGCTTTTTTTTTCTAGCAATATGGAGGTAATTAAAAAACAGAAATTGCCTAGGAAAATATTCCTCTGTGAGAGAGAGAGAGAGAGAAATGGGGTTAAACGTCCACTCAACACAAACTAGGTCATTTCGGAACTAACATATGGTTTAATTTTATTTCAATAATTCGCTTGCGCGTAGGGGTCTTTAGAATTGGGAGGAAACCAGAGGACCCGGAGAAAACCCACGAGGTTGGACAGGCGACCCTACTCCTTGTCACGTACAACCGGGGAATCGAAACCACGCCAGTTGACTCAATGACAGACTTTATGATACAGCGCGCGCACGCTAACCATTCAGCCACCCAACCCTCAATCTCCTGTGTGCTCTAGGCTTTAAACCAGATGAAACTATTCTACATATAACTTTATCTGTCTCTTTTACAAAGTCAATTTCACCTACTTTCATAAAATCAATTTTCACCCACTTTTGCAAAATCAATAAGAAATTTCACCTACTTTTCCCTTTACACTTTGTATAGGATCAACTACTACAGCTACTGCTCTCTCCGATAAAGCTTCAAAACTCTGTTGTGTATTTATATCAACACCAGATAACCAACAACCAAATCCTGGATGGGAATGATACCATCCTACTACCATTTCAGGTCTACAAGAAAAACAAATTATCATAGATCTCTCTATTATTACTTTTATTAGTATATTTTAATCATGTTTTAATATTGGTTCGGTTTTTAATGTTTTGGTTTCTGTATTTTGAGAGATTTTGAATCCATTTCAAACTACAATATTGTGAAAGTTGAATCTCTAAAAAAGGAATATTATCCATTCTCTGCAGATACAATCACAATCGTTATTAAATTATGAAATGCTGATCATGTTTCTATCCAAAATCACAACCATCCGATAGTCTAGAGAGTTGAATATGAGCTTGTCAGGTGAATAAAAGTCTAAAATAATAATTTTTGTAGGTTTTGAGGCCAACAGAAAGAACTGCAATAGGCAGATTTAGCTCTTACATAATGCATCTATACATTCCCCAATCCCTTAAAGAGGTTACACTGTCTCAAGACACTGAATATTCATATGTACAAAATAAAATGTCCAATCTTTCTGACATAAAACAAGTCTAAAATTTGTATATTGTTTTCTACAATTCACATCTAATCTGGTCTACAAGATAGACACTTACCGACCAGTCTGTTTTAACATGTCTAACATTTTCGCTTGAAAAACTGGATCTACAGCTTCAACACTAACACCCTATAAATAATACAACAAGAAACATGTTTATAAAGAATGAATGAAATGGGATTTTATGGCATGTCAGCACCAACTGGACTATACTGCACCAAAAAAAACAAAAACAGATATAGAGAAATGGGGGTTAACATTCACTCGACACAAACTAGGTCATTTTGGGACTAACATATGGTTCAATTTTATTTCAATAATTTGATTGTGCGTAATGCTCTTTAGCAGTGGAAATGAAATGAAATAGGGTCTAATGTCGTACTGCCCATCTTGGACTGGGATAATGAACACGACATACACCGTACAGTGTGCTATGAGGGAAATTTTGCCTGGGCAGTTTAGCAGTGGAGAAAATCCACGAGGCGGGATGGGAAACTCTAATCCTTGTCACACACAAACTTGGTATCGAGAGCATGGCACTTACTTAGTGACCCCTCGACCACCCCCTTCAAAAGGAAAAAAATATAAGGTACATGAATAACTTACAGTTCCAGACTGTGGCATGGCAAATACATCTATAACTCTAACAGTATAATCATCAACAAATTCTCCCAACATTAATCCCATAACTTCCATAGGTACACCAGCTCTTCCATGTTTTAACATCTGTAATAAATATTCAAAATGTCCTGATACATTATGTAAGATTTAAAGGAGCTAAGTCGCTAATATTTGGGACCTAGAAATTGACACAAATGCGTCACAACGTATATAATAATGTAATATGAATGTAAATAAACTGATTCACATTCAATCGTTTCCGTTTTTACTCTTAATTTAAAATCAGTTATGTTCAATGAAATACGCCAGAAGTCTCAATCGAATGGCAATCTCTAACATCTGGTTATTCCAGTCTACACCAATATTATTTATTGCGCATGCTCTCCAGACAAGAATATGAAGTCACCGTTTGACATGACTTATGGAATATGTCTAGCCTCGTTCTTCGAGCCCCTTGTTACAAATGACGCTGAAACGCATTATGGTACACGATTCGTGTACCAATGGTAAAATGTTTATTTTGTCTTAAATATTGGATATCAGAAGCCCACCTTTTCCCGGTAAGATCACAACATCAATGTTGATTTAAATAGACAAACAATTTGTGTCTTCAATGTCGAAGAATTTGGATGATATTGAGTTAGAGACTTAGCTATTTTAAATAAAGAGCTGACAGTTCTTGCTATAAAAGTTCAAAACCAGATAATGAAAAGAGAATATCTTGAAAATTACAGTCAATTTAGTTCATTCTGAGCGATGTTAAGGCTGTTAGGAGAACAGCCGAGTCTCGATTGTCGTTGGTAATGTTACTATGATAGTAAATGTTGCTACGATAGTAATGAAATCATTAACCGCAATTCATGTTTCATGTTTAAATCCGTTGAAAATCTCAAAAACGGCAAAATCTATTGAATATCATATTAGGCTTTCCTGAGCTGTGCACTACAGGCCACATTGAAAAATATATTCTGGTTCTTAGACATGATCCAAATAATGTAAATACAAGGGCACCACAAAAATCGTGGTATATTACAGTTGGTTTTAAATACGAGAGAGAGAGAAATGGGTTAGGTCATTTCAGGACTAACATATGGTTCAATTTTATTTCAATAAATCACTTGCACGTAGGGATCTTTAGCAGTGGGAGGAAACTGGAGGACCCAGAGAAAACTCACAACGTACAACCCGGGTATCGAAACCACGCGACAAGATTCAATGACAGACTTTATGATACAGCACGCACGTGCTAACCATGCGGCCATCCAACCATTTTGGGTGAAAATTCATACATGTATAAATGTACATTTAGAATGTTGTTGATTATTTATGACAAACACTTGTTAATTATAAAGAATAATGATGAGATTTGTTTACCTTCAATAATGCTAAAGATGAAATATAGACTTGTTCAGCAGTATCAACCACTGGTGCATCGGCTGGTGGAGCTCCCTGATAAAATATAATATTAATACACACATGTGACAATTTGATCAGAAAGAATTACACTGAAATCAAAGGCAGTAAATGTGAAAAATAAATCAGATATATTGTACATGTAGTAAGGGTAGTATAGTAGTGTATGGGTGATATACGGAAAATTCCATAATTATGCCCTAATAACAATGGCCTTACAGTATTAGTTTTTTATTTCCAACTGTCTGAAGATCTTTGGTGTACATGGCACCTTGGTTTTTAAATAGGTGAATGAAAACTTTAAAATCCCAATACTGATTCTGTTGTCATGAAAAGGTAGGTTTTTACCATACAGTATCATAACATTTATTTGACTTGAGTTTAAATATAACTCACCTGTCCTAGCCCTGGCATTCCTCCTGCTCCACCTAATCTCAGTAAACGATCCATTCTTCTATATTCTAAAAATATCAAACATTGTCGTGTCAACAGTGGGTTGGTTCAATCAATTTATCTTATTGATAATTTATAATAATCATAACAGTTCTTGGGAGTTTTAATTAGACCCACATACAATGAAATGATTATCTGTCATGATTATTTTGATGTGGCTATTTTTATGGCACTTCCCTTTGCACTTGGGCATTGGGAAAATATTTGACTTGGGAAAATTATTTTACTCACATAAAGACAACAATATTCGGGCTATTTTTAGGGTTAGCTTCCAATGTTTTTTTGAGGCCGAAAGTCAGTTAAAACTATTACACAATTGGAAGCTAACCCTAACCCTAAAAATAGCCCAAAGATTTAAAAGCAACTGGAAGCTAACCCTAAAAATTGCCCAAAGATTTTTGTCTGTGGCACTGACGTAAAAATAGCTACTCAAAGTCAAAGATTTTTGTCTACGGCACTCGCGTACGACTGCACTATTTTAATTTATGTGAGTAAAATTCTCTACTTAAAATATCTTCCCGATGCGCATGAGCGACTGGAAGTGCTGTAAAAACAGCCTAATTCATTACATTACACCATTTACTGTTCTGTAAAAATAGCCACTTTGATTACTAAATCCAAGGACCAAATGCCATTTAATTAAACAATTTAGCATTGTCACTAGGACTGGGAGAAAAAGTCCACATTTTCTCACTATGGAGTCGAGGAACTTTATTTCATTCTTACTTCTTATAGGAACTACCCCAAAAAATCCAATGCCGTGTACGATGTAATGATATAGACTGAAGCTCTAAAGCATCGCGCGAAGCGCGGTGTTTGAGCAAAGCTCTTTTCCGGTAACACAGGAGCGTAACTGAAATTGTCACCCACAGACTGTTGATTTAAAAAAAATTCAGACTGGAACCGGACACACTGGGCAAAACAGCCAATGTGCATGTCAACATACCAAATCTCGCCCAAACGAGATTACGCGCCTCATAGAACTATTTCTATGATGCGTCTAATCAATGCCGTCACATATTTTTGACGTCAATTAAAATAATTCTCACTTTTTTGTTCTTTTTTTTTAAAAACAAAATTAATGTATACAATTTAGATCTACTGTCTGAACCTTTCTATTTTATAAACAGATTTCTTCGATTATGAACTAACTATTTAACTTTGGTTATTATACATGTAAACTCACCTGTGTGTTTGAAATCAACTCTGGTTAAATAAAATCCATTGCACAATTAAATATCCCAACGAATAAAAAAGTTCTCTCGAAAAATTGAACTCAAACAAACTTTTGACATAGGGCAATAAAAAAATGGAAGCCAGTTACGTCACTCTTCGGGAGATATCATTTCGTATAAAGGGGTGACAGCATGCTACATCGAAACATTTTACGGTACATTTACGACAATTTGTGGTATTAGCCTCGGCTTGGTATTCAGTTTGGGGGTTCGGCCCATATCTCTTTATTTTATTACCATCTTTTTACATTCTAGTATAATCCCTGCAAAGTTTAAATATTTTCTTTTGAAATAATATAATTTTGTTTTAATTATTTGATTATAGTTTTTTTGGCATTATACACCCACAGAATTGGCACCTTCGAGGCTGCCGCAACACGCTTGTATATGTTGCTGAAACGGTTATCGTTTCCTCGAAAAAATGATATTAAATTAACGATGCACTCGGAAACTTCGGTCGTGAGCTTCATGTTGTTTCTTAAATTATTTATAATACATGTATAAAGAAGATAGGGAAGGTTTAGTTTAAATACGACTATCCGTGCAATCATTGATATTTTCATTGTGAATGAAATTTGGTAGACTGGCCATCAATGGTTTTAATATAAATCTTCTATGTAATTGCCTTTAGTTAAAATTTTTCGTTGCCCAAACTCAAATGATCGCGGTTTGTTTTCATAGCAACATGTGGTTGTCAAACTCGCTGTCAATGGTTTCGTCTAACACGTGACGAAAGCCATGTTGTCTTTGACTTTGTAGAAAATATAAGTAAACACGTCAAATTTTTCAAGACATAACTTTTTTATTCGTTGGGATATTTAATTGTGCAATGGATTTTATTTAACCGGAGTTGATTTCAAACACACAGGTAAGTTTATAATAACCAAAGTTAAATAGTTTGTTCATAATCGAAGAAATCCATTTATAAAATAGCAAGGTTCAGACAGTAAATAAAAATCGGTACTATTTCAGTAACGTACCTCTACCAGTTCCTGTGATCTTCGAGACTTGAAATTTCCAGGGGGTGTTCACAGGGACTAGCCGTGACCTCACACGAAATTTCAGCCGAATCGGTCAATAACTTTTTATTTTACCGTAGTTTAGCTTCTATAAGAGATAAATTTATCCGATTTTGACGCCATTTTGTTTGTTGACTAGCTCGAATGACGTCATATGTGGATTGTGGGTTAGGATGTGGGTTAGGATAAGAATTAGGGTAAGGCCTAGGACCTGTAGATTTCGTCATAGTCTCAAGATGTAGACAGGGCTAGCCCTAACCCTGTCTTGTTATTCGAGTCTAAATAGCCAACAAACAAAATGGCGTCAAAATCGGATAAACTTTCTCGCTATAAGCTAAACTACGGTAAAATAAAAAGTTATTGACAGATTCGGCTGAAATTTGGTGTGAGGTCATGGCTAGGTCCCATGAATACCCCCTGAAAATGTCAAGTCGCTACGATCATGGGAACTGGTAGAGGTACGTTACTGAAATAGTACCTAAAAATCAATTTGGAAAAACTAAATTATTTAACATTTTTTGTATCACTTGAGAAAATTAATTATGAAGGTTTTATATTTGACAATAATCAGCTTCGCTCTACTCGGGCAATGCCTGTTACATATTAGCTCCATCCATTCGATTCCTTGAAACAATCATCCAAATTCAGGGCCAATCCCCAAGCAAAAATTGCAAGAGACAACATTCTGAAGGTCTAATTACGCAGTTATTAATCAGTAAATTGCTACAAGTTCTTGTACACAAAACCAAATTATGAATCAAGTAAAATATAGCAAAATACGCGTGAAGAAGAATAGAATTCCACGAGATAAAACAATAATATTACCTGACAGAGAAAGTCTTGCGTGATTCAACAAAATGTTTTAACCGGAAATGAAGCAGGGGTAGTTCGTTAATTTTGTATTTCAACATATTAATCGTTATTAACAGTCATTTTTAGCTACTTGGAATTAAAGCACAAACAATTTGAAATACTTTAATTAGATTGGAATAAAAATATTTCGTTAAAAATAATAATATCGAATAATTAAATTCTTACAAACTAAACGATCCCGATGGCTAAACCGGAAATGATGCTGTCACTGATCTATAAATAAACTCCAGCTCGGTGGGTATAAAATGCGAACTCTGATGCAAGGCAGAACGACAATCTTAGCCTCGATCATCTTGCCTCTAAAATTACAAAATCAGTTCTCCAAAAGAGCCCACCACCATTTGGTTTAGTAGATGATAAATCCAAATTCTTATTAACCTGTATTTTGAATAAAATAAAACCAAGTACGAACAATCCAAACCATAAGACAGAATTCGAAGTCCTAAAAAACGTTATAGGCAAAATAGTGTATTTAAGCAAAATAGTGTAATCAGCAAATGGACTGCTTCTCGTGTACAAAATACACGACAAACAGTGGTAACAGGTGTCCGGAAGAGTAAGCTTACCCTGCCTGGCGCCACACCCGCCATAGCTGCATCCAAACTATTAGGCGAAATGTCGGTAAAATAGCGTGATTGGCCAATGAACTATCGGTACATCGCATTTTTATTGTTTTTTTCTTTCTTTTTATATGCATTGATGATTAATTTAACCTAAACTTTACTTCTTTTTAAACAGTTCTGAAAAAAACGGAAATAAATGAAAGACTGAAGTATTTATTTTTCTAATACTTCAAAGGGTTTTTTTTTTATTTTTGGATGCAGACCACCTAGATTATAAGAGAAACAAGTTATACAGTAATCAATTGAAATGAAATGAAATGGTGTTTAACGCCGAACTGGGCTAATGAAGACGGACATACGCCATATACAGTGTGCTATGAGGGAAATTACGCCCGCACCGCGGTACTACGGACTACTTTTATATCGAATTCCAACTGTCAAGGGATTTTTTACGTTCACGCCAATGTGTACACGGGACCTCGGTTTTTCGTCCCATCCGAACGACTAGACAGCTGTCCTTGTCAGCCCCTCCGTCCTGCATCACTGACAAGGGGGAACCACGCCGGAAACAGTAATCAAGTGTGTCATGTAAGCGACATATTATTTTTTAGATGGTCATGTTCTCATACTAGGCCTATATGCCTTGCTATATATAACCTACATAAATTTATTTAGATGATAGAATTCTATTTCTAGTCATGATTTGCCGTTGTTTATCTACATGTCAAGGTTACGTTTATGTCTTTTCATATAATTGATTAAAAGTTTCTGACCCGCTTGTTTATTTTGCCAAGGAAAGATGGCAGGAACAGGTAGGCTCTTCGCAGTTTTCTAAACGCATGTCTGCGCTGAGGTACGATATTCAGAATTGACACCATGGACCGGGGTTCGTAAATGGATCGACTTTTGGCTAAAGGTTTCTCCTAGTATAGCCTGTTTGGGATTCGTTCTTTGATTGAAGTTTAAAATGTATGTTCTAATACAAACATATGTATTATTATTATTAATTAACTTGTGTTACTCGCCAGGAATATACCACAGAATGCACGAAATCGCACTGGACCCTCGGCCCTTTTCTTAAATCCGTCCCACCCCGACCCGAGGGGTTGGTTTTTGGACGGTCACAACACAACCCTTAGCCAGAAACGGTTAAACCGGGACTAACTAGGTTAAGCAGGTCGAAACCCGGACTGACCGGGACTAACTAGGTTAAACAGGTCAAAACCATGATCGATGTATTCAATGATAATATCTAATTCAAATCCACTTTAGACCAGTATTTTCTACTACAATGAGTTAGAATAATGACCTCCATACATTATCTATTGTAATCTGATCACAAATATTTGCAAACTGTATTTAAAACCCTTGTACACAGAGGTTTTTATATTATCTCCTACATTCATGGCATTCCGGCGTGGTTTCCCCTTGTCAGTGATGCAGGACAGAGGGCCTGACAAGGACAGCTGTCTAGTCCTTCGGATGAGACGAAAAACCGACGTCCCGTGTATACATTGGAATGTACGTAAAAGATCCCTTGGCAGTTGGAATTCGATATAAGAGTAGACGATGGTGCCGCTGCCCGGGCAAAATTTCCCTCATAGCACACTGTATGGCGTATGCCGGTCTTCATTAGCCCAGTATAGGAGCAGAACAGTAGGACGTCAAACCCCATTTCATTACATTCATGGCAATAACGCCGTTTTGGCTCACTCCAACGCAATCCTATACATGTATCAACCTAACCTAAATGAGTAGAAATATTGTCCCTTTTATCAAACGAGCAGTTAGTACACGCCCCTCTCCTTCGCCGCCCCCGCGACCTTACGCCAAACTAAACGTTGTCACTACCTTGCCCCCCCCCATGCTCTAATCCATGGACACGCACCTGTATACGGGGCATGGCTGCGTGTTAAACCCGATTATGTCGCCATTTTGTTAAATTCATAAGTACATGTAGTGGTTCTTAATTCATATCATTTTCCGATCGGGCAAGGGATGGGGTGAGATATAATGCATTGACTGACTTCAATTTACAAATCCATTACATATTACAATCACCTCCAGTATCTAAAGAAAAATTATTAAAGTTACATTTTCGTGGATCGTGAGTGTCAAATTTTTAGAACATATTATTTTCCAAATAAAGCCCAATTATACGTGAAATGGTTGATAAATTTCCTTAAAGATACATTATGTAAGATTTAGATAAAGAGCTAGCCATTCTTGCTGTAGTTCGAAAATGGATAATGTAAAATGAATAATTTGAAAATTTCACTCTATTGCGAACGAAGATATATATTAGCCTTTGGAGGTTTGACAAGACGTAGGCAAAAATTTCAACCAGCGTACAGGTTGTTCGAAGCTAAGTGGCGTTTCTCCATTTTTAGCTAAAATCAAAATATGGCTGAACTGCTCTAATCTATTTAATACCGGAGAAATCCGATGCCATCGAGAGTTGATTGTATGGCCTGGATAAGTTAATTAATGTCTAATTTATAATTTAGAAAACATTTTAGGCCTAAAGAAAGACCTGCAATAGACAGATTTAGCTCTTGCATACTGTATGTTTAAACTTTTACTTCAGAAGTTGAATTCGGTGATGACTTTAAGGTCACCCAGGAGATGAAGGATGCCTTTAATCAATATGGATACGTGATTGTACGGTAAGACAACCGAATATTATATAAATGTTTGCACAAAATAAACACCTTTCCTCCATTCCTATGGTGGCTAAGGGGGTAAGACGCTGGCCTTGAGGTCGCGTGTTCGATCGCTGTATTGGCCGAGAAAGAACATCGGGATATTCCGGCGTGGTTTCACCTTGTCAGTGGCGCCGGACGGGGGTTTGACAAGGACAACTGTCTAGTTGTTCGGATGGGACGAAAAACTGAGGTCCCGCGTACACATTGGCGTGCACGTAAAGGATCCCTTGGCGGTTGGAATTCGATAAAAGAGTAGGTCGTAGCGCCGCTGTCCAGGCAAAATTTCCCTAATAGCCCACTGTATGATCGCAATGTCTGTCATTGAACCGCAAGGTGTGGTTTTAATTCCCGACTTCAAAGTGACAAAAGACCCCTACGCGCAAGAGAATTATTGAAATAAAATTCTACCATATCTTAGTACCGAAATGACCTAGTTTTTGTCGAGTGGACGTTAAACCCCTTTTTTCTCTCTTTTTTTAAAAAAGTAATGTGTTATCCAAGGAAGAAGTTAATAAGTTATTTGAGGTTTTTGACGTCAGTGATCTGGTCAAGAATCACATGGACGTAGTAAGTACATATTTCATAGCATGGGCGGACTGGGCCTCGGACCGTCGGACGTGATTCTAGGGCCCAGAGGTATCAGGGACCCGCTGGCCCCGAATGGATAAAAACTAACAGACATATACTTCTTTCCAAAATAAATAAAATTCATGTTCTCATCCATTGAAATATATAATTGCCTAAATCTCTACATGTCACGTATTCTTCAGTCTTGGTATCTTCAGTGTCGTTCCGTTCTATACTAACCCCTGTGTCCATCCACGGGTTTTTCACGAGTTCAAATTATCTGTCCTTGATCTTAGCTTGATTCTACGGACCAATCAAAAAACAGTTTACGTTTACATATCAGTCTAATCGTCACTGTTTACGTTCAACACATGCTTAATGCTTAGTTGCAATAAAATGAACGTCACTTCCCTTCGTCCACTCGATTGGTCGATAAAAACAACAGAATCAAGGGTGGATAATTTGACTATGTGTCTCCCCCGTGGATGGACCCAGAGGTTAATGGAGTAGAACGGAACGATACCACTGGGGATACCGAGAATGCGCGTATTCTTCATCGACATGGAAGCCCAAGGAAACCGGTTGGTTCAGCTCTGTACAGGGCGGGTGTAATGAGACCTACGTTCAGAGCTGAACTACCGGTTGGTAAGATGGCCCAGAGCCCCAGTCCGCCCGTGTTTTAATAAACCATTTTAATTAAAATTAACTCGGTATATTCACAATTAACTACATTATGCTAGTGTTCCTAGCATCACGATTCTGATCAAGTCTTATAATAGCAATCTTGTTGATCGTATCGAAACGTATCCGAACGTATCTGCACTACGAGTTGGTGCAATACAATCCTTTCGTAACGCATCTCACGACAGTGACAACCTAGCATTTATTAACATAGCCTGTTGGTCATTACATCCGGGAGTTACGACAACGTGTTTGATTTTTATTGGTGGACAACATCTATTTCAATAATAATATCAGATAATGAAAACCGGATGTGGGGTATTGGCCGGCCAGGCCGGAAATGGGAGCAAGGTTACACAACAGGTGTTATGACTGCGCGTGCCACATATTATTTTATTTTTAAAATAAAAAAAAACCAAGGAGATTGGTTCAATAAAGTAATGGGTTTAGAAACTTCTCCCAAAGTCATCAGATATAAAAAAAAGTGAGATGCAACTTTTATCGCACAAATGAACCAACAGCTGAAATTTTGAAGAAAAGGCGTCAATTTCGGACCATGTGCTCAGGAGGAATTGCCATTCCCCTTGTCCCCAGAAATTCATTTAGATTGGTCTACACCATCAATATCACAATATCACAATACTGCAATTTGGCCACAATATATCGATTATGTAAATCTGCTATTGTTTTTTTAGTATTCTGATGGGGACAAACATATGTGTAGAAAAACCATGTGGAACCAGCCCGGAAATGACGTCACTGGAATGCTAGCACGATGTGAAAAAGTAGCTGGAACCTGCGAAGAGGTGATCAGAAATTAATTTGTACATTCTGCCATTTATTTTCGTTAATTTATGATGCATCATGGTACTATTGAAAGAAAATGACGCCAACCATGTTTCTGGAGATTTTAACTAGGCCAACTATACAAATATCCTTCTTGTTTCAATATTTTGTTTTTATATAAATGTTAAAGATACATATGCAAGAGCCAAATCTGCTGATCGCAGGTCTTTCTTTAGGCCTTAAATGTTATATAAATTATTAACTTGCCGGAATCATAATTAACTCTAGATGCCATCGGATGCTTTGGATTTTAAACACGGATTTAACGGTTAATGATTTAATTAAAAAGTGGATAATCGAGACATTGTTTACTGTCGTTAGAACCGTAGCAATCATAATCGCGACTCTGCTATTCTTCAAATAGTCCTAATAACGCCGTTCATATTGAAGTAATTTGGCTGCAATTTTCAAGATATTACCTCTTCATTATAGCGAGGACTGTCAGCTCTTTATCTAAATCTTACATAATGCATTTAATGTACTAGATTGAACAAATACGGATAAGGTGCCACTTAGGGTGGTTGGGGTGAAGCCTAACTGCATTTCCAGACACAACATCAGATTCTGATATTACACATAGGAGACACTAATCGAGAAATTTTTATTAGTAATTCAATTTTACATAAGTATCTATGTCTTTTTAAAGTTATTATTACTTGTAGTAAATTATTATTCCGGATAGGAAACACTAATCGATACATTTTAGCGGGTTGGTATGAAGTTTTCCTAATTTCCAGACACGTGGCCGGTATCTGATATTGCAAATACACAATTTTCAAGTACCGGTAAGATGAACCAGACAAGGAGACACTACTCGAGAAATTTTAGTAAAGCAATTTTACATAAATAAATTATCTATGGGTATTTACTGTGGGAGGAAATCGAAGTACCCGGAGTAAACCCGCGAGGTTGAGAATTCTCCAATGACTATGAACAAGCACAATAAGGTTGTTACTGACAGTAAGTTTTATTTCTAGTTAATAGGTGGAGAAGTTTACCACTATCACAGTAAGCTAATGATGAAACAACCCAAGATAGGTGGTAAACATCAATGGCATCAAGATTATGGGTAAATTATATTTTATCACCGTGTAACACATTCTACAGTAGATATCGCTTGTGTGATAAATTCTATATTCTGCTGAGAGATATCTCCTAGAAGATATCACTTTCAATCTATACCAAAGAATTATATATATTTATTTGTGCTTGTTGGGTGATAAGTAAAATATTCTTGCAGGTCTTTCTTTAGGCCTTAAATGTTATATAAACTATTAGACATTTATTAACATGAAAAGACCTTAATCAACACTCGACGCCATCGTATGTGTCGGGTTTTCACTCGATTTGAATACGATTTGCTGTTCAACGCCCATTGATGATTAAATCCCAAAATGAATAATCGAGACTGTGTTTTTTTTTTTTTATATCGTACCGATTTTAGTAATGATGATCGAGACCATGTCTAAAATTCAATCGCTAATATCTCGGTTCAGAATGGAGCAATTTGACTGACCTTTTCAGCATATTCCCTTTACATTATCAAGTTTTTAACTATTATAGTGAGAACTGTCAGATGTTTATCTAATCTTCAATGATGTCCCTTTAATATATTTTTGGTATAAGTTTTGTTGAATAAAGCCCCGGGAGAAAAAATAATGATTGTGTTTTATTATCTCAAGATATTGGTATTATAATACGGCATTACGTCCCAATTTGATGACAGTTTTCATGGCTTTGGACAGATGTCACAAAGGAAACGGATGCCTACAGGTAAACGTTACAGTCATCTGGGATTCGGGAATACAGTAATGATCTGTAAAACACGCCCGTGCTTCAGTGCTGACGGATGTCCGTCGTCCGAGCCATTCGCTAACACCGAGCATTACAAACATTGTAGCAGTTCTTAACTTACTCAAAATTGTTCGCCTTATTTTAAACATACATTATGCAAGAGCTAAGTCTGCCAATTGCGGGTTTTTCTTTAGGCCTAAAATGTTATCTAAATTATTAATTAAACATTAATTAACTTATCCACACCATAATCAACTATCGATGACATCGCTAGCCTGCGATATTTGCTGGATTAGGATCATTCATGATTTAATCATGAAGTGGATAATCGAGACTATGTTTTTATCGTACCGACTTTAATAATGATGATCGAGGCTAGGCCCAAAACTCAGTCGCTAAATTCGCGGTTCAGAGTGGATCAATATGACTGAATTTTTCAGCGAATTCCCTTTACATTATCTAGTTTTTAACCATTATAGTGAGAAATGCCAGCTCTTTATCTAATCTCCCATAATGTATCTTTAATTAAAATATAACCCTTTATAAAAGCTTTGTTGTTTTAATGTATGAAATACGTCAATAAGAAACTATGTGTAAATTACTGTGTTTTTGGATCAAAGATATTTCTCATAAACAGTGATTGAAAGTTGAGTAAATTATTAACTAAATCTGAGAATGCTTTGTGAACTCGGGGTCTAGCTTCCAGAAGCTTTAATCTTCATTTTGTGCAGATCTTAGAGGGGTCCCGCTTTTGTAAATCTTAAGTGTACATTTTGTATTGTACCGATTTTAGATGCTCTCATCATTTGTATTGTACAGATTTTAGAATAATCTCACCATTTGTATTGTAAATATTTTAGATGCTCTCACCATTTGAATTGTACCAATTTAAGATGCTTTCATCATTTGTATTGTGCAGCTTTTAGGTGCTCTCACCATTTGAATTGCACATATTTTAGGTGCTCTCGCTATTTGAATTATTCAGATTTTAGATGCTCTTAAAATTTGTATTGTACCGATTTTAGATGATCTCGCGTTTTGTATTGTCTAGATTGTAGATAGATCGCATATTTTGTATTGTCCAGATTTTAGATGGATCCCACCGTTTGTATTGTCCAGAGTGTAGATGGATCTAACTTTTTGTATTGTACTGATTTTAGATGGATCTCTTTTTTTACAGATTTTAGAAGGATCCCACCTCTGTGGTCGTATAGATCATACAAGAGTTGGAGATCAGATGGGAGCAGATATGGATCGGGTTAAAATGATACAAGAAATATGTCCACTGAAATATGTTGAACTCAATCCAGGTATATATCTATCTTAGTTAATTATTTCACTAACCCCAGTCGGTGCAAAACAGTAGGATGTTAAACCCCATTTCGTTTCATTTCACTAACATAAACCTAAGCCGAGGGGGGTTGGATGGCTGAATGGTTAGCGTGCGCGCGCTGCATCATCAAGTCTGTCATTGAGTCGACTGGGGTGGTTTCGAATCCCCGGTTGTACGTGACAAGGAGTAGGGTCGCCTGTCCAACCTCGTGGGTTTTCTCCGGGTCCTCCGGTTTCCTCCCACTGCTAAAGACCCCTACGCGCAAGCGAATTATAGAAGTAAAATTAACCATATGTTAGTCCCGAAATGACCTGGTTTGTGTCGAGTGGACGTTAAACCCCATTTTTCTCTCTCTCTCTAAACCTAAGCCAGAACGGTGATTTGTTGCACCAGCCCTGCAGTGTGTAGGTGATGAACATAATCCATTTTCTGTAAAGTTTGATGACATACGGGAGCCACTGTGGCTTGGAACTTTCGTGTTCGATCCCGGGGTTGGAGAAGAAGGGTCGTCGGTATTTTCCAGCCTGGTTCCCCTGGTAAGTGTTATAAACTCAAACTACAGCAACGTCACTGCACTGAACTAACGAGTTTAACTTGCAATTCAGATATTCAGGGCTGCTCGTTTAGATCTCAATAGTATGTTGCGACTAAACACTGAACTATTGTTCGCTAAGGTGTGCCATTTTATCCCGCAATTAGCCTATTGAAGAACGATCGACATGTATTGAAATTCCCAATCTAATAACCTGGCCACACATATGGTTAATTAGCTTTGATATACCCATAACACAACTAGTTTGTGTCACATACTGACTTTAAAAAGTTAACCCGTGTAGTTATTTTTTTTTGTAGGAGATGCTGTGTATTTTCACTGTAATATTCTACACTGTAGTGCGGTTAATACCAGTCTAGATAGAAGATGGGCGATACTATGTGCTTATAACAGGGCCGACAATAATCCCGTGGAGAAACATCATCATCCCTTCTATACACCACTTAACAAGGTAACATCATCATCATCATCATCATCACCATCATCACATTCATTCGCATCAGCATCATCATTCACTCATCTCATTCATTCATTCAGTCATTCATTCATTCATAGGAAAGACAGACGCGTTTACAAGTCGGAGTGGTATGGACAGGCGGACAGTGGTGGCGACAATATATGTACATAACATATGGGTGTGGAATCATCATGAGCATCATCATGGGCATCAGCAGCGGCATCATCATCATCATTCACTTATCTCATTCCTTCATCTCATTCATTCATTCATAGGAAAGCCAGACGCGTGTACAAGTCGGAGTGGTATGGACAGACGGACAGTGGTGGTGACAATATACGTACATAACATATGGGTGTATATATAACACTAACTCATTTCAAACTGGTTTAAACCATGAGTTTCATCCAGATCAATTCGTCCTGTGAAACAAGGCTGTAGGATCTTTTATATATGTATATAGAGTCAGATCTATTTGACAAGGCCCAATGCATATTTACTCAAGGACACGAGATGTAAACAGAGTTAGGGCACATGATTGTTGCCGAGGATTGTGTGTTAGGGTTAGAGCAAGGCGTAGGGCTAGATCTTGGGTTAGGGTTTGCGCTAGCCCTGTTTACATCTGGTAATTATGCCACGAAATTTTGAACGGCACACTAAGAAAAGTTCTCACTAAAGAAACCAGCTATTTGACTGATGAAATTCGAAACACTGCAATATAGTAAGTTCATAGCTGTGTTTTTCTTTATTTAGTTTGCGTCATTCTATGTGTCTATGAGTATGACTAGTCTAGTCTGTGTCTATGACTTGCCATGTTTTTATTTTGTAAAATTCAAATATTTTTCATATATATTTAGCCAGGTGTGCCGCTATTTTGTCATGTGTTCCAAGGTGTGCCGTTGGCAAAAAAAGGTTGAGAACCATTGGTGTATATAGTCATTAACACATGACACAATTATATGGAATGCAAGTTACTTAAAGAGTTTATTACAGCGACGTTTCGACGAGGGTTCTCCCGTCTTTTTCAAGCAAAGAATGGCCATCGAAACGTCGCTGTAATAAACTCTTTAAAGGACAATATTGGTGTCAGTCATTATAAAATATGTGATAGAGCTCGTTAAATACATCCCAAATATAATTTTAAAACAGAGATCATTGCTACGAGAGATGTGTAACAAGCACGTGAAGAAACGGGAAGTGACGTCAAACATGACAAACATGAGTTGTCCTTCTATATAACTGACTGAAGTAACGAGCGGTAACAGACAAACGATCGAATTTCAATACCCTCTCACCGTCCCATATAATAACTTTTCAACTTCAACGGAATTATCAGTGAAATGAAATTCGATCGTTTGTCTGTTACCGCTCGTTACTTCAGTCTGTTATTTATATAGAAGGACAACTCGTGTTTGTCATGTTTGGCGTCACTTCCCGTTTCTTCACGTGCTTGTTACAAGTCTCCCGTAGCAACGATATATCTCTGTGTTAAAATTATATTTGGAATGTATATAACCAGTTCTATCACATATGTAATAATGACTGACACCAATATTGTCCTTTAAGTAACTTGTATTCCATATAATTGTGTCATGTGTTATTCTCATTCAGTTACTAAATGTCACTTAAACAATTTATATAGTCATTGTTTAATTTCTAGGTTCCAATTACAGCTAAGGGTAAGGCGAAGGACAAGATCTTGGGTTAGGGTTAACGCTAGCCCTGTTTACATCTCATAATTATGCATTTGATCTTGACAATTAGATCTAACCGTGTATATAGTCATTTTTTAATTTCCAGGTACCAAATACAGCTATTATGGACTGTACTACGATGTGGGACTCAACGGGAAAAGATCCGTTTACCGTAGACAAAAGGTTGGAGTCCAACTTTGGATACATCAAAAGAGAACTGTAAAGATATCAATTCTTGAAATAAAAACATTTCTTAACATTTTGATTTAATTTTATTTGATTAATTTCGGCAAATCATTTTGGACCAGGAAGTATCAGTCCCCCAAGAGTCATCCATATTGTTGCCGTTGTTATTTGGGCGACGCTCTTCGAAAAAAGCCTACGGTTGTACTAATACAAGTGCCATCGCCATATGACTTGGTGAAGGAGAGAAAGACACACTCAAGCGAGGTCATTTCGGGACTAACACATGGTTCAATATTATTTCAATAATTCGCTTGCGCGTAGGGGTCATTAGCAGTGTGAGGAAACTGGAGGACTCGGAGAAAACCCACGAGGATGGTATGTCACACAGTGTGCTATGAGAAAAATTTTGCCCAGACAGCGGCACTACAGCCTACTCTTGTATCGAATTCCAACTGTCAAGAGATCTTTTACACGCACGACAATGTGTACACGGGACCTCGGGTTTTCATCCCACCCGAACGACTATACGTTTTCCCTTGGCATGCCGGGGGGTTGGGTGGCCGAATGGTTAGCACGCTCGCGCTGTATCATAAGGCCTGTCATTGAGTCAACTGGCGTGGTTTCGAATCCCCGGTTGTACGTGACAAGGAGTAGGGTCGCCTGTCCAACCTCGTGGGTTTTCTCCGGGTCCTCCGGTTTCCTCCCACTGCTAAAGACCCCTACGCGCAAGCGAATTATTGAAATAAAATTAAACCATATGTTAGTCCCGAAATGACTTAGTTTGTGTCGAGTGGACGTTAAACCCCATTTCTCTCTCTCTCTCTCTCTCCCCTTGGCAGGCCCTCGATTCTGCATCATTGACAAGGAGGACCGCCCCGGAAAATCACGGTGAACTTATAGAATATTCCACACTGATGTAAAGTTTTCATTGTAAATTATTTGAAAATTAAGCCCTGCCCCTTCTGCACTGCCTCATGTGATTAAATAAGCGGCACAGTGTTTGGGGCAAGATGAAATGAAATGGGGATTAACGTCCTTCTGTTCTGCTCAGACTGGGCTAATGAGCTATGGGGGGGGGGGGGAGTTTGCCCGGACAGCGGTGCTGCGGCCTACTTTTACATCAAAGTCCAACTGCCAAGGGATCTTTAACGTGCACGTCAATGTGTACACGTGACCTCGTTTTTTTACGTCCCATCCGAACGACTATGCACCACTGAGGAACGACGCCGGAAAATCCAGCTGAACGTTTTCGGTCAACGCAGGGATCGAACACGGGACCTCCGGGTTAGCGAACCAAGGTTCCGTGAAAACATTGGTGTGCACGTAAAAGAACCATTGACAGTTAGAAATCGATAAAGAGTAGGCGGAAACACAGCTGTTTCCCTCATAGCATGGTGCATGCCTGTCTTCCTTATCCCGGTTCGTGCAGAAAAATAGGACGTTAAACTCCATTTCATTTCGTTTCATGTTACGCCCTACTGCACTAACTTTTAGAAAAAGATTCTAGAAAAGATTAAATTCGCGTGTGACCTTGTAGGTTATCGAAGTTAGTCACCTGATAGTTAAATGTTAGAGGTTTATCATCGGATGACGTCATGTTGTTTATCATAATATACATATATGTAGGGCCTATATATAGGCTAACATTGCATATATAGCCTTGTTATCTGCTAAACATTGTGAAGGGATCCGGATATTTTTTCTGTTCCAAATCACCAGCTGGAAAATGTCACAAACAGGTAAACAACGAAATGAAATAGGGTTTAAGGTCCTACGAATCAAAAAGGATAATGAAGATGTGCATACACCACGCAGTGTGAGTGTGCTACGGAGTAAGGTTTGCCCTGGCAGCGGCGCTACAGCACACGTATAGCTAGCACACGAATAGCCACGCATGCTATTTCGACCTATTCCCTAACGTGCATTGAGGGTGGCCGAATGGTATAAACTCTCAGGACTGTCAATGAGTCAAGTGACGTGGTTTCGATTCCCGCTACCAGCTTGTACATGACAAGACGTGGGGTCACGGGTTTAACTTCACGGGTTTGCTCCCACTTCTTAAGAATTATTGAAATAAAATTGAAACATGTAAGTACCGAAATGGCCTAGTTTGTGACGTTAAACCCCATTCTCCCTCCCTAACGCGCATACAGGGGAGATTTAAAATCACAATTTTGGTATTCGTGTATGTTTTGACCACTAAGGTATTTCACACGCCAACTCCATAGCACATGATGTTTGGCCGTTTTCAGAAAGATGGAGAGAGAAATGTGGTTTAACGTCTACTCGACACAAACTAGGTCATTTCGTAACTAACATATGATTCAATTTGATTTCAATAATTCGCTTGCGCGTAGGGGTCTTTAGCAGTGTGAGGAAACCGGAGAACCCGGAGAAAACCCACGAGGTTGAACAGGCAATCTCACCCCTTGTCACGTACAACCGGGGAATCGAAACCACGCCAGTTGACTCAATGACCGACCTTATGATACAGCGCGTACTCGATCGCTAACCATTCGGCCACCCCCCACCCCCCGTCTTCAGAAAATACACATGTCAAAGTTGGGCGCAGATTCCTTTGATGGGGAGAGATAGCGAAGGGCAATACAGTGCCTTCCACTAGTGCTCACCCTTTGTTCCATTTCCGCCCATCTCCGGTTCAAATATTTTCGACAACATATATCTCCTCGGGGACTCTTCGCCCTTCCTAATATTTAGCACCATATAATATTTTGACACCAAATTTGATCTTTTTGTAAAAATTCGAATTTGTATGGAAGCGAATTCAGCTACCCTGAAAGGGTATATTTTCATACCAAACTTGAATATATTATGATAATTGGGTAAAAATTGACATTTTACAGCCAAAACTGGCGGCTTTTTTGGCAAATTTGACCCATTTAGACACGGGTTCGGACTGGAACTTTTATTTGGGTGATAATATACATTTAGACCGACCATAAACCGTCGGCAGCATTTATTTTGCAGCAACTGTCCGGCATATGGGATTGAGTTGAAATGCTCCCCTATGCTCCAGATTCCTTAAAAATGCCCTGCCATTTTCAGAATTTCGACCCAATCAAAATAATGAAGTGGAAGTTACAGAGGGCATGAAAACAGCTTTTGATAAACATGGTTACATTATGGTCAGGTTAGAAACACATTTTGTTACATTCTATTTCATTGGTCATTATTGATAGGCATGCGTAACTATCGGTCGAAAACTAAATGCTAGCAAGTTGTGTCATCTCCGCAGTTAGCGTAGTCTCGAACTACACGTAGTGGGTATCTTAGTTCAGAATGTCTGGATAGTGTGCATGATGGCCTTGAAACAAACGTCGAGAAAATTAAAAGTGTCTACCATCATTTATTACTATGACGATAGAGACCATGTATTTCTCAAAACTTTTCAAGGCCAGGGGGGAAGAATCCACCTGGATCCCCCCTCCCCAAGATACATTGTCTAAGGCAAATCCCCTCCTGCAAAAAATCCTGGATTCCCCCCTGTTTTAAGCTCAAGTTCCTCCCCATCGTACATAAAAGGTCTTGTAGAATCCTAATATACCGACAGGAATCTCCGTTATCAGACGAAACATCTTCTAAATTCTCCAGCCATTAACGTACAACTTTCCTATGCTGGACCTTTTCTATGGAATAAACTACCAAAGGCAATGAACCGATTAACGTCTGTGGGTCATTTTTAATCTCAATTCGAAACAGACCTGTTTCAAAACCTTATCAGTGAATATAAAAACCAACAGCGCCTTAGAAACTGTTCTCCAGTTAAAACGCGCTTAATAAATGACGATGTTATTATTATTATTCCAACGTAGGGTTAATGTTTCGTGATCGCGCGGTTAGATCTAATTATTAAGGCCAACTGCAGATTTAGTCAAAAGGTCTCTAGATGCAAACAGAGCTAGCGCTAACCCTAACCCTAAACCAAACCCACAATCCTGTCAACATTCTCGTGCTCTAACCATAATAACATTTCAGCGACCTTGACGAAATCCGGAGGTGGCCCTAATATTTAGATCTATTATTGATAGTGAGATCATTTTACATGATTTAATATACGGATAATTGAGGAGAATGAAAACTTTTGAAGTTGATATACAAACGTGATTGTAGATACACACATGTTTGCAATCTGTTTCACAGAGGATTAAAAAAGTCTTCTAATATCTCTGTAAAAGATATCTGCCTTCAACACGTGACGTCACATCACGCGGCGTCAATCATTGGCTCAATGGAGCGTGCATTGTTTACATAAGACGTTACTGGTTCGGGCAGAATGGTGCCTTTTACTTATTTTAATACCCATTTACAATAAATAGGAAACATTTTTTACCCACAAATAATTCAAATGTTTTAGAATTTAATTTGTCGGAGGAAAAAGGTTAATACTTGTGGCTCATTAAGTCGCATCTATGTCATCCTTATCAGTGATTGAAGCGGCCTAGCGAATATTCACTGCAGATCAGTGTACCATGTTTGTTTGTATCAAACTTTATTTTAGGAATTTACTGAACAGTCAAGAATTAGAAAAACTGAAGATGTCATTGGATGAAAATGAAACAGTTAACGAGAACTCTGAGAAAGTTAGTACACATATTACTAAATATGTTTTATTGGACAACAGAAATTATAATTTTGGAGTCATTTATTCAATTGTGTGTGTGTGTGTGTGTGTGTGTGTGTGTTTGGGTGCGCGTGTGTGTGTGTGGGGGGGGGGGCGGTGGATGGCCGATGGCCGAATGTTTAGCATGTGCGCGTTGTATCACAAGGTCTGGCATTGAGTGAACTGGCGGGGTTTCGATTTCCCGGTTGTAGGTAACAAGGAGTAGGGTCACTTGTCCAACCTTGTGGGTTTTATCCGAGTCCTCCGGTTTCCTCCCACTGGTAAAGACCCCTACGCGCAAGCGAATTATTGAAATAAAATTGAACCATGTGTTAGTCCCGAAATGACCTAGTTTGTGTCGAGTGGACGTTCCGCCATCCCCCTCTCTCTCTCTCTCTCTCTCTCTCTCATTCAATTATGTGGTCTGTTATACTCGATAATGTAGACATTGCCTTAATTACCGTTACTCCCCAGTGATCATTACTCTCTAAATAGACATCCCTAGTGACCATTACTCCTTAGTTATGTTCGGCGAAAAACGCGAAGTGTCCAAATTGGCAGTTTTTGACGTCTGGTAATTCCAGTCTACATTTGTAGTATTCTCCTGTGGGATATGTTTAGCCTCATTACAAATGGCGGTAGAAAGCATTCTGGCACGCGGTTCTTGTGTCAATGTTATAATTTTCATTTTGTCTTAAATATTGGATATCACGTTAAGATAACAACATCAATATTGCAAAGTCGAAGACTGTTGATGATATTGAGTTAGCGACTTGCCTCATTTAAGTTACCATTACCCGTTCTATACATAGCTATGAATCATTGTTCTTGTGGGGGGGGGGGGGGAGGTCGTGTGTTCGATCCCAGATTTTCCGGCGTGATGCAGGATGGAGGGCCTGACAAGGACAACTGTCTAGTCGTTTCGACGGGACGAAAAACGATGTCTCGTGTACAAGTTGGCGTGCACGTAAAATATCCCTTGACAGTTGGAATTCGATATAAGAGTAGGTCGTAGTGCCTCTGTCCGGGCAAAATGTCCCTGTTAGCACACTGTATGGCGTATGCCCGTTTCCATTAGCCCAGTTCGGAGCAGAAAAGTAGGACGTTAAACCCCATTTCATTTCATTCCATTTGTTCTTGTAGACTTTCCTCATAGCATAGTGTATGGCATATGTCCGTCTTCATTATCCCAGTAAGAACAGAGCAGTAGGACGTTAAACCTTATTTCATTTCATGTCATTTCAATTTTTAGGTTGATGATGGTGAGAACCGTTTTGCTCGTCTGACACTTTGGTCACATCCTGGTGATGACGTCACTGGCATGATCTCCAGAAGTGAGAAAGTTGCGGGAACATGTGAACAGGTTTGACCAGACACGTGACACGATAATTGTCACATGCCCTTTAAGACATGTAATATTATTATGAATAGAAAAGACAGGACACTATATTACTATATCTGGAATATATCCAGTTGTCCAATTAGCATCTAGCATCTGTCCAGTTGACCAATTAGCAATCTAGCATCTGTCCAGCTGACCAATTAGCATCTGTCCAATTGTCCAATTAGCAAACTAGCATCTGCCCAGTTGACCAATTAGCAACTAGCATCTGTCCAGTTGTCCAGTTAGCATGCTACGATTTTTCCAGTTAACCAATTAGCAATCTAGCATCTGTTCAGTTGTCCAATTACCTCCTAGCATCAGTCCAGTTGACCAATTAGCTTCCTAGTATCTGTCCAGTTGACCAAGCTGGATAACATGTGATTGGCATAGATTGTTGAAGTAGGGCAAACCAATGGGAGAATATTTGGCAAATTAACGGCTGTAAAAATATAATTCATGCCACACCAGAACAAGTTTTGTACCATTATGTACTTCCTTCTCTTGTCTAATCACAATGACTCTTTAAAAATCGGGGGTGGGGGCGGGGCGGGGGGGGGGGATTAACACGGATCATATAAGGTCTGTCACATTGATTCAAGTGGCGATTTCCCGCTTGTACGTGACAGGGAGTAGGGTCGGCTGTCCAACCTCATGGGTTTTCGTCGGGTCCTCCGGTTTTCTCCCATAGCTAAAGACCCTATTGAAATGAAATTGAACCATATGTCAGTCCAAAAATGACCTAGTTTGTGTCGAATGGACGTTAAACACCATTTCTCCCCCTCTCTCTTTAACGCCTAAATGAAATGGGGTTAAGATTTCCAACTATAAGAAAGGTCTTTGACGTGCTGCCGTTGCAACGACCCGATGCCTATCCTTATCAGACGCTCCGTCCTGCACCATAGACAAGGGAGAACCAGACTAGGAAATCCCCATACTAAACTTACGCTGTGTGTCTACAATTATCAACGCCTGAAAACAGACACTAAGTTAGTTGTCCGACATTTTAAGTCCTAAATCGAAGATTTTAATCGAAAACACCGAGTATATAATATACTCGAGAATTTAGACAAGTATAACAGATGTGAATCGGGGAAGGACCGCAGTACTGCTCTGCGCCGACTTGGCTAATGAAGACGGGCATACGCCAAACAGTGTGCTACGAGGGAAATTTGCCCGGACAGCGGCGCTACGGCCTACTCTCATATCGAATTTCAACTGTCAGTAGATCTTTTACGTGCACGCCAAGGGATTTTTTTCGTCACATCCGAACGACTAGACAGCCGTCCTTGTCAGGTCCTCAGTCCTACACAACTAACAAGGGGAAACCACGCCGAAAAATCCCGATGAACTTTCTTGGCCTACACCGGGATCGTCCCCGCCACCCCGCAAACTAGCGAACCAGCTTTAAAATCACTTGGCCACCGTGGATCCCTGATCGCAATGACTCTTAAACTCCGCGCAAAATTTCCTTGGGAGTCGGATATCAAAATAAATAAGACCGAAGTGCAAAATATTCCTCATAGCGCATTACATGGTGACTGTGGATCACGGTGGCTAAGTGGGTAAGACGCTGGCTCGCTAGCCTGGAGGTCGCGTGTTCGATCACTGCATTGGACGAGAAAGTTCATCCAGATTTTCAGGCGTGGTTCTCCCTTGTCAGTGATGCAGGACGGAGGGCCTGACAAGGACAGCTGTCTAGTCGTTCGGTTGGGACGAAAAACCGAGGTCCCGTGTACACATTGGCGTGCACTTAAAAGATCCCTTGACATTTGGAATTCAATATAAGTGTAGGCTGTAGTGCCGATGTCCGGGCAAAATTTCCCTCATAGCACACTGTATGGCGTAAGCCCGTCTTCATTAGCCCAGTTCGGAGCAGAACAATAGGACGTTAAACCCCATTTCATTCCATTACATGGCGATTGGTGCAAAAAACAGTAAGACGTTAAAGGAGTCAAGTAATTTCATTTCACTTTTGTCTGGATTGTATTTTCAGCTATTGGAGGGCGAAGTTTATCATTATCATTCCAAGCTGATGATGAAAGTGGCTAAAGTAGGTGGCCGACACGCTTGGCATCAAGATTATGGGTAAATCATGTGACGGAGAGAGAGAGAGAGAGAGCGAGAGAGAGAGAGAGAGTTTAACGTAAATGACATTTACGCTAACGATAATATGATTTATGAAAGATTCGTCGCCTGATGTAATACTTACACGACAAAAACATCAACATTACGTTTAAATTTCTTGTTGGTTGCTGTAACATTTTGGCTTAACTTGTTTTCTAAATCGTCAGATTTGATCAAACATAGGCTACGTCATAGTGTGGGCGGCCATTTTGGTGTAAATATGGGATCACTCGGTACATTTACACCAAAAATATTATTGTATTTTTATAAAATGAAAATGAAACCACGATTTTGAAAAAAAAAAAGTACTTAAATTTGAAAAAAAGAAAATGTACTTAAATTTGAAAATAAAAAAATAGCTTTGCAAAGCGACACATCATGTGTTTTCAAATAGTGACATATGAAACGTCGTCAGAGGAAAACTAAATTGAAAATAAAATATGCCACGGAATCTTTTTCATGTTTCAGACGACGATGCATAAACTATGTATTTATTTTACAGTTATTGGTATCGTAACACGGCCTTGTTTCCAGACATGATGACCGTCTTCATCGCCATTGACAGATGTCATCAGGGAAATGGATGCTTAGAAGTAAGAAGTCTTTGTTACCCCCACCCACCCCTCTTTCTCCTTACAGTGTTTCATTTGATTAGAGCTAATCCCACTCAACACTGCCGTAATGAAAGCAAATTTCTGTTCCAAATTATGACTGGTCAATTGTACTTAGAATACATTAAATCACTGTCCAAATTTTTGGGGAAGACCCCAGATTAAACGAAGAGATTTCATTGAATGAAATGGTATTTTAAATAATATATACTCTTCAAAAAAAAAGTAAGGGATATTGAAATGCAAATACCTATGCAGTTTGTGATATGATAAATAGTCATGGACATTTGACATGCTTTGAGAGTATCTTCACAGATGAAGAACCTATCGCCCCAACAGAACCACTGAGCTGTGCATGCGACACGCAATAGCGCTATACACGTGGGAGGGGTTCATTGTCAAATTTGACACTTCAAGGAAGGGTTGATGAAAACTGCCGCGTGCTAGTTTATCTATACATGTTTGCTTTCCTATCGGTTCTTGCATACGATTTACTGTTTAGCGTATCTTTGCTTTAGTGTGTTACGTTTAATTTGATCGGGAGACGTGTTCGTCGACGTCAACGTCAACCGACAACACTGCAAGAATGGGCCGTGGCACTGCAAGAGGAGTGGGTCAGATTGTCCCAAGAGAGCAATACTCATTATTAAGACAAAAATCAAAAACGTCCATTTTCATTTTTGACGGTGTATCTCTTTGTGAGTGAAATGGGGCCGTCAGATAAGCCGCCCATATGAACTGTTTATGTTCATGTGTAGGCAATTGACCTTTTATTAACATACACTGGTTACCTCTTTCAGATTTTAGACGGTTCACATAAATGTGGTCGAATAGAGCATAATTTTGTTGGTCAGCTGATAGGTGCGGATATGGATCGTGTCAATATGATTGAAAAAAGATGCCCTAAAAAATTCGTAGAAATGAACCCAGGTATACAGAAATCTTATAAAATATAATGTGGGCTTGAACGAAATAAAATGAAATGTTCTGCTCCGAACTCGGCTAATGAAGACGGGCATACGCCATATAGTGCGCTTTGGGGGGGAATTTTGCCCGGACAGTGGCACTACGGTCTACTCTTATATCGAATTCCATTTGTCAAGAGATCTTTTACGTGCCGGCCAATGAGTACACGGGACCTCGTTTTTTTGTCCCATCCGAACGATTAGACAGCTGTTCTTGTCAGGCCCTCCGTCCTGCATCACAGACAAGGGGGGGGGGGGCACGCCGGAAAATCTGGATGGACTTTCTCGGCCAAAGCAGGGATCGAACACGCGACCTCCAGGCTAGCGAGCCAGCGTCTTACCACTTAGCCACCTCCCCCCCCCCCATCTAATAAAGATAGCCATGTGTGTGAGTGACGTTGGTTGTCATTGTGTACAGGGCTCTTGAGAGGAAAAAGAAATGTGCTTCTGCTCGAATCAGTAACGTCTTATGTAAACAATACACGCGCCACTGAGCCAATGATTGACGCTTGATATGACGTCATGTGTTGAAGGCAGTCATCTTTTACAGAGATATTAGAAGACGTTCTTCATACTCTATGAAACAGATTGTGACTTACTATGGGCCCCATAGACTCTTATGGATCCTGGGGGTGGCCTATCGGTTGCACGCCCCTCTCGGGAGGCCTGCTTGTGTATATCCTATTAATGGCATTGGCCTGTAGGTTGCTCTAAACAGCGACAATCTGATTAATATACAGATCTATATTTCGTTTCGTTTTTTTATACTTTCGATGGCCTATACACTATATGAAGATCTGACAAGTTATACTCGAAGGTCGTGTCAGGGGTCGTACGAGCGGCATTTGACCCTATGACGTCAGACTTTGATTAATCAATCAGCGTTGGCGTTTCTAGTGGTTTACCCACAGTTACGTGCATGGCACGCGAAGACGTCGCCGTAACAGACTGTTTCATTCGCTTATCCCACACTTCAACCAAAACGCCGGTAATATAACAACTCTTCCAGATCCTAGTGTAGTAAAGACAAGTAAAACGAAAGTTTGAACTATAAAAAACGAAACGAAATAGGATCTGTGTTTTAATCAGAATGAAACAGCGAGTACATCTTCTACATGGTAGGAAATGGGTCCCGTCACACTAACATATTGCGAAGGGTAAATATATATTTAATGTGAAATAAAATGTAACATATATTATTGTAATTTTTAAGGAGATGGATTATTTTTTCACTGTAACCTGCTCCACTACAGTGGTCCTAATCTAAGTGAAGAAAGAAGATGGGCGTTTCTGATTGCTTATAATAAAGCTAGCAATGATCCTGTTGAAGAACACCATCATCCTAAATATACTCCGCTACACAAGGTATAGTTCTAAATATACTCCGCTACTCAAGGTATAGTTCTAAATATACTCCGCTACATATGGTATAGTTCTAAATATACTCCGCTACACATGGTATAGTTCTAATTATATACTCCGCTACACAAGGTATAGTTCTAAATATACTCCGCTACCCAAGGTATAGTTCTAAATATACGCCGCTACACATGATATAGTTCTAAATATACGCCGCTACACATGGTATAGTTCTAAATATACACCGCTACACATGGTATAGTTCTAAATATACGCCGCTACACGTGATATAGTTCTAAATATACGCCGCTAAGCATGGTATAGTTCTAAATATACACCGTTACACATGGTATAGTTCTAAATATACGCCGCTACACATGGTATAGTTCTAAATATACGCCGCTACACGTGATATAGTTCTAAATATACTCCGCTACAGTTCTAAATATATACCGCTACACATGGTATAGTTCTAATTATATACCGCTCCACATGGTATAGTTCTAAATATACTCCGCTACACCAGGTATAGTTATAAATATACACCGCTACACAAGGTATAGTTCTTAATATACACCACTACAGTTCTAATATACTCCACTACACAAGATATAGTTCTAAATATATTCCAGTACAGTTCTAAATATACTCCGCTACAGTTCTAAATATACCCGCTACAGTTCTAAATATACTCCACTACACAAAATATAGTTCTAAATATATTCCAGTACAGTTCTAAATATACTCCGCTACAGTTCTAAATATACCCGCTACAGTTCTAAATATACTCCACTTCACAAAATATAGTTCTAAATATACTTCACTACAGTTCTAAATATACTCCGCTACAGTTCTAAATATACTCCGCTATATAAGGTATAGTTCTAAATATACACGCCTACACATGATATAAGTATAAATATACACCTCTACACAAGGTATAATATAGTTCTAAATAATATACTCCGCTAACACATGGTATAATTTAATTTCTGAAATAAACATAATAGAATTGCTTCTAAAACTTCGTCCTGTTTAGCGTTTACAAGCTTTAAATGTCAAAAATCATATAATGTCTGAGCTTCAACATATAATTGTTATTATTTATCTCAAGTGTTCCAATTCTGTTTCATTCAGGTTCCAAATTCGGCCATATTGAATTGTGAAGTATTATGGGATACGAATGGAAAATCAATTCTGACAAAAGAAAGGCGGCAGCAATCTAAACTTGCAGAAATTAACGTGAAAAACTAATTATAAGATTATCAAATCGTTGCAGTGTAGCTTTTCCTACCATTTCTAATTTTCAAATTAGGGACTGTTGTGCTAAATACTTTATATGCCAAAATGCCCCCCCCCCCCGAAAAAAAACCAAAAAAACAAAAAAAAAACAAAAAAAAACAACATTACTATCTAATTGGAATATATGTATTTATTAAGTTCGATCATTAATCGTACATCTAATTGTACATCTGTTTTATTAAATTATCTCATTAATTGTTCCTAATGTATTAAATTCGATCGTTTGTTCATCTAACTGGGTTATTAAATCTTCTCATTAATTGTACATCTAATTGGGTTGTTAAATTCTCTTATTATTTGTACATCTAAGTAGTGTCGCCAGGTAAATTTATGTTGCTTATATTTATATTCTTTCATTATGTAATGTGTATTATCATGTACTTCGCTGTAACTTCGTAAGAGATCGTTATGTGAAATAAACAAATACTAATACCAGTTTACAATATTCAAACATTTTGGTAACATTTCCCAACTGTAGCCATCACGGCTTTCCACTGGCATTTTTACTAGGTCATTTCGGGACTAACACATGGTTCAATTTTATTTCAATAATTCGCTTGCGCGTAGGGGTCTTTAGCAGTGGGAGGGAACCGGAGCAACCGGAGAAAACCCAAGAGGTTGGACAGGCGACCCTACTCCTTGTCACGTACAACCGGGGAATCGAAACCACGCCAGTTGACTCAATGACAGACCTTTCGATACAACGCGCACACGCTAACCATTCGGCCACCCAAACACTCCCACCCCCCATGTGTCACACCTTTAAGGTCACGACAATATTCTCCCATGGTTAATGTAGGGATATAAGGCCAAGTAAAATGCAGTGATTGTTTTCTGTAACCAACCGTTCTGATCTTGGTGCCTGAGATGACAATAAAAAGAGTATGTAAACCCAAAATAGTGGGGAGCCACGGTGGCTAGGTGGTTAAGACGCTGGATCGCTAGCCTGGAGGTCGGGTGTTCGATCCCTACATTGGCCGAGAAAGTTTATCTGGATTTTCCGACGTGGTTTCCCCTTGTCAGTGGTGCAGAACCGAGGGCCTGACAAGGACAATTGTCTAGTCCTTCGGATGAAGGAATGCACGTAAAAGATCCTTTGGCAGTTGGAATTCGATATAAGAGTAGGCGATAGTGCCGCTGCCCGGGCAAAATTTCCCTCATAGCACACTGTATGACGGATGCCCGTCTTCATTAACCCAGTATAGGAGCAGAACAGTAGGACGTTAAACCCCATTTCATTTCATTTCATTTCCAAAATAGTGGCTCAGTGACTAAAACGTTGGCTCACTAACCCCGAGATCCCACCCTTGGCCGAGAAAGTTCCTACAGGTTTTTCCAGCTTGGTTTCCCCGTGTCACTGGGGGTGGGGTATAGTCGTTCGGATGGAATAAAAAAGCGAGGTCTTGTATATATAACATTTGAAGCCAATAACTATAAAGACCTGCAATAGACGGGTTTAGCTCTTAGATAATGCAACTTTAACTTTTCTTTCCGTCTTAATTAGCTCTGAGGCGTGATCCTTCCTTGGTCAGTGGTACAGGACAGGTGACCTGGCAAAGGACAACAATAGTCGTTAGAATGGTACGAAAACCTGAGGTCCCGTTTGCACGTAAAAGATCCATTGGGAGTTGGAATTCGATATAAGAGTAGGCTGTGGCGCCGCTGTCCGGGCAAAATTTCCCTCATAGACACTGTGGTAGTTCACCATAACCGTGAATATGATAGTGATGAGATAGTATAAGACAACAGACTCGAGTGGAGGAAGAATGATGGCATAATGGAATTGAGCGCCGTAGGCGCGAAAGAATTTCAGATAGCAACGTGTAATATGTAATTATAAGCTTTTAATATTTGGGGACTGTGTCTAAATTTCCTGGCATTTGAGTTCATTGGTGGGTGCAAATTCTTGTGAACGAGCGGTTAAGAAATGGGACAGAATCTCGAGGTCTGCATGTTAATTCCACCCGTTTTGTGTGAGTTGACATAACATATGTACAGTCTGTCGCCCCATGATCCACTCACTAGTGCTACTACTATAACTAACTTGACGATTCAATATATCCGTGAAGATAATATTGAGGAGAGAGTATAAGACAGTGGTTCTCAACCTATTTTTGCCAACGGCACACTTTGAGGCACATGACATAATGGCCGCACACCTGGCTAAATATGATTATGTGAAAAAAAAAATGAGTTTTGCAAAATAAAATGCTGATAAGTCAGACGGCATAGGCCTACAGACTAGTCATAGACTCACAAAATGATTCAAACTAAATAAAGAAAAACACAGCCATGAACTCCAGTAAATACTCAGGGATCACGTGGTTTTTCGCATTTTCTTAGTGTGCCGTGCAAAATTTCGCGGCACACTTGAGAAGATCTCGCGGCACACATGTGTGCCACGGCACACTGGTTGGGAACCACTGGTATAAGACCACAGATCAGGATTGGAAGAATGGCGCGAAAAAATTTCTGACAGTTTTTAGGATCGAAACGTCGCAGTTTAAATTGACGGTGACAGACCTTATGTTATAATTTTTAATTTATGACAAGTTCATACACAGAGAAGGTCTTCATTAGCCAAGTCGCTTCAGAAAAGTAGGACGTTAAACTATTTCATTTCATTTCATACACAGAGACAAAAAGACCGAGACTAAAGTTTGCCGTTTGGAGTTGGCTTTTTACGCCACCCATACTCACTCGGCAAACATCGGCAGTTTTCGGTATACTACGTAGAATCATGCCGATGTTTGCCGAATGCATCCATACTTTTAAATCTACTTCCGATTTCATAACAAAGTTAAAAATAGAATTTGTTCGACATGAAAATTGCACAAGCAGGTGGAAACACTGTATTGTATTTATTTATATAAAGCAGATTGACTGTACGTCAGTTATAAATCTATAAGAAACGAGGGAAGAAGCTTGTCAGGTAGGATAAAACAATTAGTAGGATTATACTATAGGCCTAGTTAGGCTTGCCTTACAACAGTCAACAGGAACAGGATTGCTCTTTAAACGTACACGTAAAACATGAATAGGCCTAAACAAAACAAGAGAGAGAGAGAGAGAGAGAAATGGGGTTAACGTCCACTCGACACAAACTAGGTCATTTCGGGACTAACATATGGTTTAATTTTATTTCAATAATTTGCTTGCGCATAGGGGTCTTTAGCAGTGGGAGGAAACCGGAGGACCCGGAGAAAACCCACGAAGTTGGACAGGCGACCCTACTCCTTGACACGTACAACCAGGGATTCGAAACCACGCCAGTCGACTCAATGACAGACGCGAGCATGCTAACCATTCAGCCATTCAACCCCCCAAACAAAACAAGACAAATAGGGGGGAGCTAGAAATGGGGTTTAACGTCCACTCACAGGAGTCTGACCTTTTATCCGTACATATATGCATACACCATGTCCAACCAGACAATATATTGTTTTTTTATTATATATTGTCTGGTCGACATGGTGTATGCATATATATACGGATAGAAGGTCAGACTCCTGTGGTCCACTGACACAAACTAGGCCATTTCGGGACAAATATATAGTTCGGTCAATCCCATTTCAATAATTTGCTTGCGCGTAGGGGTCTTTAGCTGTGGGAGGAGGGCACAGAGAGAACCCATGAGGTAGGACAGGCGACCCTATTCTTCGTCATGTAGGCCTACAACCGGGGAATCGAAACCATTTGACTCAAATCAAGGGAATGGATTCGGTGACTTATTATAGGCTATAATAATTATATCGCATTTACGGGGTCCTCTATTTAAAGGAGCTAAATCGCTAATATTTGGGACCTAGAAATTGACCCAATTGGGTCGCAACGTATACAATAATGTTGTCTGATTGTATATAAACTGATTTACATTCATTTGGTTCCATTTTGACTCTAATTTCAAATCAGTTATGTCCAGCGAAATACGGCAACCGAATGTCAATTTCTAGCGTCTGGTTATTCCAGTCTATTGCGCATGCTCTCTAGATAAGATATGGCGTCACCGTTTGACAGGAGTTGTGGAATATGTCTAGCAAGGTTCTTTCTGGTCACTTGTTACAAATGACCCCAAAACCCACTATGGTACACGATTCGTGTACCAATGGTAAAATGTTTCTTTTGTCTTAAATATTGGATATCAGAAGTCTACCTTTTGCTGGTAAGATCACAACATCAATGTTGATTTGAATTGATAAATAATTCACGTTTTAAACGTGTAAGACTTTGGACGATATTGTGTTAGAGACTTAGCTACTTTAAGCTATAGCCTCGACTTTAGTACTACATGTAGCTGTGTCATGTATGGATTTACCAGTAGGACACACTAAAATACAATGACCCTTTATATAGAATACAATCACTGTTTTATCTAACAGCCTCGCTTTGTGAAAACGATCAGAGAACTGGCCTACATTTTGTTGAAACGTTGCGATGGCACGATTTAGCCGAATCCGACTAAATCCACCATTATTTCTACTTATACCGATACCATTCTCCATACCCAAATTGTTATTTTTAATTTAAAACTGTTATGTTTTTGTGTTAAAATGCCCCTCAAAATACTATTTCCAACTCCAAGCAAGCGATTCTGTGTAATACATGAGTTACATCCCTTGGTTAGCGCGCCAATGTCTTACTCACTGAGCCACCGCAGCTCCCCAAACAAGAAAATCCTTTCTCACAATGAACATAATATCTTAAATTTGTCTTTTTAGAATTATAAAATGGATTCACCAGCTCCTTGTATAGTCATGCCACAAGAAACTAAACCAGTTAATGCCTGGTCAATGCCCAAATCACCCTGGGGACAACAGAAGAAAGTTGAGACCTGTTCTCTTAATGATGTCATGAGTGAAGAACTCGCCTCACACCTACAGAAGCAACAGGAAAGTAAATTAGCTAAAAGACTGGAAAAAATAGCTCCAGCTGAACCACAGATTATCCAGCCTGAAACCTTGCCATGGTAAATTATATTATAATATTATTATTAATATATTTTTAAAAGTCATTAGATTAACTAAATGTATCAGTACTTGATAATAAAGACTAAAGAAACATTACTCAGTAGTAAAAAGTAATTCTATTCCATGTTACCGGTATTGTTGTTCTTAGGGTTTAACCTCTGCTTCCACTGAGGGTGATATCGCAGACAAGTATTATTATATTTAGTGCATGCATGGAGGTCATTCTTGTGGGAGGAAACCAAACTACACAGAGTAAACCCACAAAGTTGAGTAGGCACTACTATCTCCAAGCTACATACGCTCACACTTGGGTTCAAAACCACAACGGTAAGACAGGTGACCGGCCTGCTGGAGATGGAAGTGGTGGTATATTGTCTATTCCATGTGTCTTATGTATCAATTGTATAGCGTGCATCAACATGGAAATGTGGTTATATATTGTCTTCACCGCCTCCCCCCCCACTTCTGTCAGTCTGTCTGACGTCCACGTTTAAATTAAAATATAATACAACAAATTGTATATTTAAACAGTAAAACTTCTATATTAATAATTTATGTATATTTGATATAATAGTGAAACAGAAGAAGATATTAATGCTATATTAGCGATAGCTGGTGAAACACCAGAAACGTGTGATGATATGAAAATAGCTCAGATGTTACAACTACAGTTTGACAGAGAACATAATACAATGTTAGAAAAAGAAGCCCAAAAGTTTAACAGTCAGAGTAAAGGTAAATAAAAGTTAATTTACATTAACGAAAAAACAAGATAGACAGAAAAAACATTGGTATTCATACTAGGGCTTTTGCTTCAAAATTTTTGAATGTTTTACGGCCCGGGTAGTGGCAAACTGTAGGTTTCGAAAAGGCAGCCGGGGGTCTTAAAGCACTCTGGTTAGTATTCGTAGGGAAAATCTTTAGGATTTATTGATTATTTTGATACTACATATATGCTTAAAATTGGGAGGGGTAACACAGGCATTAGGCCATCCCCTTCTAGTGTCTACACTCTACAGGCCTGTGTATAATTGTAATATATTTCAGTCTCTCCAGGGATGTACCGATATTAATTTATCATTCTACTCTAATTTACCTCAATATTTACATGTACATGTACATATTTTTTGCGACACAAGACTCAGTAGTCATGACAGCCCACGACTTGAAAGAGCTTAGGACTCTTGTAACGGCGAGGGGGCATAACACTAACTTACCTTATATTCACCATAAATTGCTGACTCATTTGATGAACTCAGGCTTTGTGAAGACTTGGGACTTGACTGAACTCTCGACTAAAGTCAGCGGCTTGGGACTCAGTCTCGACGTGTGGCGGCTTGTTTCCACCTCTGGTACCAAGTGCTAAAGAGTTAACTTGAATGTTATTTCTTTTTTATCTTTCATCAGTTTCGATATCACTTGAGAACTTTAAAGTATCCCATATTCCTAAAGAAGAAGAAGATGAGGAGGAGGAGGAGGATAGTGATGATGCTCTACCAGAAGTTGTAGAACACAAGTCACAATGGCGTACGTGGAAATTTTATTTTTACATCAATCTAATATTAATTAATCTAATTGTGGTTCGATCCCGGTGTTGTCCAAGAAAATTTCCAAGTTTCTCCTTGTCATTGATGTAGGACCTGGCAAGGAACAGTGTGTAAATCGTTTGGAAGGGGCGAAAAAACGAGGTCCATTGTACACATTGGCGTGTACGTAAAAGATCCCTTGTCAGTTGGAATTAAAATACTTATGGCATGAGCCCGTCTTGATTAGCCCAGTCAGTGCAGAAAAACAAGTTAAACCCCATTTCATACCCTGTCTCATGTCTGTTTCATATGTTTTGAGCGTCCTACGGTTTCCCCCCACTGCTAAAGACCCCTACGAGCAAGCGAATTATTGAAATAAAACAGAACCGTATGTTAGTCCCTAATTGACCGGGTTTGTGTCGAGTGGACGTTAAACCCCATTTCTCTCTCTCTCTCTCTCTCTTTCATTTGGTTTGAATGTACCTTTGAGTTTTAAATATAATAGTTGAACCCTACCCTTTAAAGGTCAATAAAAATTTGTATATTTTAGGTAAATATCAGTTTAATAAAGGTGGATTAACAGGACATGGAAAGGATGTCATGTCTAAACATGATGCTGTATTATGTGGACGTAAAAACGCAGAGAAAATCATGCAGGTGAGGTGTTTAATTTTAAAATCTAACTTAATTGTTTGTGAGTATTAGCTGTGTTGCCTATTTTCAGGGTGGTTGGGAAGGAGATTGGGCTGAATAGGGAGGAGATTGGGTTGGTTAGGGAAGAGATTGGGCTGGTTGGGGAGGAGATCGGGAAGGTTGGGAAGGAGATCGGGAGGATTGGGAAAGACATTTCATACAGAAAAATTTATCAGTCAGGAATTTCGCCATCGTCTGGCAGTATAAATATATTACTTCAAGATGCATTATGCAAGATCTAAATCTCACCATTTCAGATCTGTTTCTATCTTCAAATCTTATGTTAATTATTATTTAAACATTTATGCACATGATGGGCTTATAATTAACCTGTCAGGAACATCCTGAATTTACAGAATGGCAATAGAGTGACATGGAATTCAGTAATTCAGTTCTGTCACTCCCTACAACTGCGGTTGAGTGAGAAAAATCGTGACGTGATTAAACACAATATTTTCTTACGCAGTTGTGTCATGACTGGTTGAGATGTTTTCTGATGCAGTTGTAGCCTGAAATCCACTTTACGTTCGATTGTCACTATCATTGGGAGTGAGAGAAATCAATTGTCACTATTTTTGGGAGTGAGAGATTTCAATTTCGGAAAGCTCAGTCAAGTAAAACTCTCTCTCTATCTCTCTCTCTCTCTCTCTATCAGACTAATATGTATTTTTGTTATTTTAGTTTCCCCCTGATTTTTTATCTGGAGATGCTGAGAAAATGGATTTAAGATTACCCAATCATGTATTTAATAAACTACGGCATTATTCACGAACCGGCAATAAACAATTCAACAGACTTCATGAAAAACAAGAAAATGCTACAGCGGTAAGTAAAATATAGAGTAGATTATTCTTAATCGTGCAGGTGGAACAGTTGGCTTGCTAAATTGGAGGTGATCCCGGCGTTGGCCAAGAAAAGTTGTGGGGCTTTTGTGGTGTGGTTCCCCCTTGTCAGTGGTGCAGGAGGAAGGGCCTGACAACTGATAGCGTCCAGTTGTTCGGATGAAACGAAAATTTGATGTCCTGTGTACACATTGGTGTGCACGTAAAAGAGCCAACGACAATTGTAATTCGAGGTTAGATTAGGCTGTAGTGCGGCTGTCTGAGCAAAATTTTCCTCCTAGCACAATGTATAGGCGGAAGAGGTTCACAGGGAGGGTTTCATGACAGCTTAACATTGGTTATTCAGGGCAGTTTGATCTTCATTTGTATATTAAAGACAATATCTATTCTATTAATTTTCTACTCAATCTTGGAGGATTTCATCCTTCCTGCACCGACAACATTAATAATATCCAGCCTTACCTGTAAAGTTCCAGGGATTCTTATACCCACACCTAGTTTGTTCATAATATAGTCCTCACCCAATCTGTCCTTCAAATTCACAGTTTCCCCCCTTTGACAAAATATCAAATTTGGACTTTTGGATAAGCTGTTGTTGAGACATGGCTGCTATGTGTGCGTATTTCTACACGTTCCTTGGCTATCTTATGTACTTATAATAAGGAGTTTATTTGGCACAATTTTGAAAGTAATAGACTATAGACGATGAGTTTTGTCAGATTATATTTTATTACAGGAACATGATGTAGACTATGAGTTATTATATTTTATTACAGGAACATGATGTAGACTATGAGTTATTATATTTTATTACAGGAACATGATGTAGACTATGAGTTATTATATTTTATTACAGGAACATGATGTAAACTATGAGTTATTATATTTTATTACAGGAACATGATGTAGACTATGAGTTGTTATATTTTATTACAGGAACATGATGTAAACTATGAGTTATTATATTTTATTACAGGAACATGCCGTTGATCCACGTACAAGAATATTATTATTTAAACTAGTAAATGCTGAGGTATTAGAAAGTATAACAGGGGCTATAAGTGGTGGGAAAGAGGCTGCTGTATTTCATGCTTATGGTGGAAAGTAAGTTTACTTTATAGTACATACAGCAGACACACTTTCATTAGCAATTTGATTAGTAGATTTTTAAATCTAACAACGATTTTCAGTTAGCTTGATGTCTAACGTGTCTCAAATTGGTTGATGGACTTCACGGTCACTTAGCCAAATGTCAGTTTGGTCGACATCTTTAAAAATGGCCGTGTTTTTTTCTCTGAGATAGTGGGAGTCAGGGAAACCTTTATAACTCTTCAACAGGTTCATCTATTTTGATAGGTACGAAAATAAAACTTTTTGGCCCAAATTCTCCCATTGCACACTTTTTAGACTGATATTCCTTTTAGAGATTCAACTTTCAGAATGTTACTACCTGCAAGTGATTTTAAGGTTTTTTTTAAATAACAGTCAGTGTTTTTAATTTGTAATTCTATTAAATCTGGAAAATAAATTGTCTAAACTTCATATATCCCTTTCAAATTGTGTAGTGCTGCTGTCCGGGCAAAATTTCCCTCATAGCACACTGTATGGCGTATGCCTGTCTTCATTATCCCAGTTAGAGCACAACAGTAAAACGTTAAACCCCATTAAATTTTATTTTGTATTAAATTGTGATTAGTATTGAAAAATAAACCATAAACCAATTTATGATTTTTTTTTCTAGATTAGAAGAAGCAGACATGCCATCAGAATGTGCCATTAAGATTTTTAAAACAACTTTAAATGAATTTAAAAATCGTCAAGATTATATTAAAGGTGACCACCGATTCTCCAAAGATGATTTTAAAAAACAAAATCCTAGAAAGACGATACGAATTTGGGCAGAAAAAGAAACAGCTAACCTGAACAGGTGTGGTGTCATTATTACTTTGAACTTCATTCTGTCATGTTTTCAGTGGTGCAGGACGGAAGTTTCCCTGACAAGGAAAAGTGTGTAGTCCTTTGCATGGGACAAAAAACTAAGGTCCAACCATGTAGACATTGCAAGCACAACTTATTGGTCAATTTAAATCAACATTGATGTTGTTGTCTTACTGTGAAAAGATGGGCTTCGGATGTCCAATATTTAAGACAAAATGAAAATTTTAAAATTGGCACTCAAATAAAAGGTCCCATAACAATTGGAATGGATTAGTCAGAAATGCCACTGAAAGGGCAAAATTCTCCTACCTTGCATTGCACATATAACCATAAAGATTAAAAATACCAGTTGTTAGTCCCAAAATCTCTGAAGTGTTGATGAGATATTAAACCCTCTTCGACTCCATTGCATTACAATATCTCTATTTTTAGAATGATTCAATATTATATATTTAAGAATGTTTCAATATTATATATTTAAGAATGGTTCAACATTATATATTTAAGAATGATTCAATATTATATATTTAAGAATGTTTCAATATTATATATTTAAGAATGGTTCAACATTATATATTTAAGAATGATTCAATATTATATATTTAAGAATGATTCAATATTATATATTTAAGAATGACTAAATATTATATATTTAAGAATATTATATTTTTAAGAATGACTAAATATTATATATTTAAGAATGATTTAATATTATCTATTATTAGAATGAGAAAGTTTGATATGCCGAGCCCAAGAGTCGTAGCATTAAAGAAACATGTATTAGTTATGACGTTTATAGGAGAGAATGGTCAACCAGCACCTAAATTAAAAGATGTCCGTTTTAATACAGAAGATTTACAAGATGCCTACGAACAGACTATTACAGTTAGTACAAATATTTACAATCAATGCTTCCTCTAATAGATGTAATGCTGAATCATGTTGTGAGTTCTTCAAAAAAAAAAAAAAGTCACATGACGGGCTAAATCACAGACGTTCTCCATTGTTATGGCTTCTTTCAATTTTAGATTAACGAAAATTAGTAATTATGCTGATTAAATAGGGAAACTTGCAAAGGGGATAGCAATTATAAACATAAAGATTATATGACTGGTGTTGCCTTTAATCTGTTTCTGTTCCGTGCTTGTACATGACGAGGAGTTGGTTGTCTGTCCAACTTTGCACGGGAAAATGTATAGTCGTTTGGATGGGGCAAAAAACGAAGTCAGTACACATTGGCATGCACATAAAAGAAACCGTGGCAGTTGGAATTCGATATAAGAGTAGGCTGTAGGGAAGCTGTCTGGGCAAAATTTTCCTCATAACACACTGTATGGCATATGTCCGTCTTCATTAGCCTAGTAGGTGCAGAACAGTAGAACGTTAAACACCATAAGGATACAACTTATTGAAATTCACACTTTAATTTTAAACTGTTTTGTTGCCTGGCAATGCTTGATTATAATCTTATCTTGATTTTTTTAGATTATGAAGAAGTTTCAAGATGAATGTTGTTTAGTTCATGCCGATTTATCCGAGTTTAATCTACTGTGGCATGATGGGAAGGTGTGGGTTATAGATGTCAGTCAAGCAGTAGATTTAACACATCCTAAAGCTTTTGAATTTTTATTCAGAGATTGTCAAAATATATGTAAGGTAAGTTCAACAGGTTATTATTATTATTATTCCAGAGTTATCGCTCCTGTTCCTCCCACTCTGTGGGGGAGGGGGGAGTGACCGAATGGTTAGCACATTCACGCTTTGTATCATAAGGTCTGTCATTGAGTCAACTGGTGTAGTTTCAATTCCTCAGTTGTATGCAACGAGGAGTAGGGTCGCCTGTCCAACCTCGTGGGTTTTCTCCGGGTCCTCCGGTTTCCTCCCACAGCTAAAGATCCCTATGTGCAAGCGAATTATTGAAATAAAATTGAACCATGTGTTAGTCCTGAAATGACCTAGTTTGTGTCGATTGGACGTTAAACCCCATTTATCTCCCTCTCCTCCCACTATTCTTATGACCCATATGCGCAAGCAAATCATTTAAATAAAATTGAACCATATGTTCATCGCAAAATGACCTAGTTTGTGTCAATTGGATATTAAACCCCATTTCTCTCTGTTATTGCTACTGTCATCATTCTACAGGTCAGAGTTTTTCAAATTGTTTCAAATCTTGCTGGGATCATATATATGAAATTTATTTTAAGCACAAACAATTGTTTTCTGTTAACTTATTTTGGAGGTTGTCCTAAATATTGTGGTCCCTCTAAATATTGGGGGAACTCTTAATGTCGAGGTCCCCTCACGGGAGTCTGGTCCAAATCGTCTTTCAGCCATCACTGATATTCACATCATTTTGCTCTCTTTTAATGCTTCTATTCGATTCCCCCGCTTGTATGAACCAAGGAGTAGGGTTGCCTTTCCCAACCTCATGGGTTTCTCCGAGTCCTCCGGTTTCTGCCCACAGCTAAAGACTCCCCCACACAAGCAAATTATTGAAATAAAATTGAACCATGTGTTAGTCCCAAAATGACCTAGTTTGAGTAGAGTGGAGTTAAACCCCATTTCTCTCTCTCTCTCTCTCTTTGTTCTTATCTCTCTCTCTCTATTTCAGTTTTTTGATAAATCTGGAGTAGTTAATGTTTTACAACCTGAAGAATTATTCAATGAAATAACAGCCTGGGATGTCAAAGGTCATGGTGTAGATTTCTTGTCACAGGTAAAACTAATTTAATATATAAATATAATTTTTACTCATGGCAAAAAAGGTGTCAGTCTTCATTAGATCAGTCGGAGCAGAATCGTAGAAGGTTAAACCCCATTTCATTTCATTTCCAAAAAGGAGTTTGCATTAAGTGTTAAAGTCATTGTCTTCGACATGAATTTCATTACTGAAACAATCGCCCTGGCAAATGTTTTCCATCAAATTATGTGCATGCTGATCAGCGATGTTTTAATTTTAATGTAATAGACAGATTTAGCTCTTAAAGATACATTATGTAAGATTTAGATAAAGAGCTGACCATTCTTGCTATAATAGCTCAAAAATAGATAATGCAAAATGAAAATTTCATTCAAATTACTTTATTTTGAGTCAAGTTATCACTGTTTGTAATTTTGACAAGATGTGTGCATTGTGGTAACCAGGGCACTGGTATATTCGAGGCTTAGCCTCACTTTCCCATTTTTAAATTAAATTTTTAAATGGCGATCCGTTCTAATCTAGTTGAAATCTCAAGTATCCGATGCCATCGAGAGTTGATTATGGTCTTGTTTTGTTAATAAATGTCTAAATAATAGTTTATATAACATTTCGGGCAGATTTAGCTCTTGTATAATGTATCTTTAACGCTTTTGTGAATAAAGGCCCCTGGTGAATGCTCATCAATGTTGCATGAAAATAAAATTGAAAATTTTTTTCTGGCATTTCAGATGAGACGTTATGAAAAGGAGTCCAGTGAAGCTAATTTAGCGTTAGAAAACAGATACCACAAAAAACAATACGCTTTTGATTTTTACTGGGATTTATCACAGAAACAGAGAGAAAAGGCTCTTGGTGCTGTTCAATTATCAGACTCAGATCAAGAGGAAGATGATGAGTCCTGAATCCAGCTCAATAAATCCGTTTGAAACTTAATACACCCTCATATTGGTGTATTATATAAGTTGATAACATGGATGAGAGTACAGCTAGTCGGTGGATTCCGGGGGTGTGGGAGACTCAGGGGTGAAGTGTTTATAGAATCATGTATAATTCATTTTAATAATATTCTTAATCTCACATGTACATGTAATTAAAAACTATGCCATGATCTTATAAATGATCACAAAGTCTTTAATTTGGAAAATGAAATGAAATGGGGTTTAATGTCCCGCTGTTCTAATGAAGACGGGCATACGGCGTACAGTGTGCTATGAGGGAAATTTTGCCCGGACAGCGGCAGTACAACCTAATCATATTTTGAATTCCAACTGCCAAGGAATCTTTAACGTGCACAGCAATATGTACACAGGACTGTTTTTTTCGTCCCATCCGAACAACTATACGTTTTCCCTTGCCAAGCCCTCTGTCCTGCACCACTGACAAGAGAGCATCACGCCGGAAAATCTTGATCTTGTATGTGAACGGTAATATATACATGGGACCTTTGTTTTTGGGACCATCTGAACGACTATACTTTTTCACATGCCAGGTCCTCTGTCCTGCACCACTGACAAGGGGGCACCACGCCGGAAAATCTTGATGAACTCTATGATAAGATTTAGTGTGAAGGGTCCCCACCCTCTTTGTTTACACTTGTCTTGATTAAGGAAATAAACACTTCCTGTTTCGAATTTAGAGGGGTGTTATTGTCATGTCCTGTGATCATTATGAGCCAAGACGATATTAGTTTGTGTAAATCATTCTGAAATTAGAGGGGTAGTATTGTCTAATAAACGACAAGTTTCACCCAAATCAGAATCAAGGAAATTTTTCAGATTTGTGCTACAATTTCAATAATACTGTTTTCTTATCCCCCTAAAGAACCCCTCTTTGTTATCTTATCCACCCTGACAGAACCCCAGATCCTCGCTTGTTATGGTTTGAAGGTATAAAACACAAAAGCTAAACAGTTTATGGTATGCAGAGTTTAAGACACACAAAGCTAAATAATTTATGACTGATAGAATTGTTAATAATAAAAAGATGAAGTGAATTATACCACTGTGATATATTGTGTAATATAAAAAGATAATAAAAAAAAAGAGGAAAACATTGATTTTAGCTGTTGTTTATCAATAATAGTTAACTTTGTCTCAAAGTGGCAATTGAAAAAAACACAATTTTTATGGGAAACAATCACTAGTTTTATTATATAAGCACAGCGTTTCCATAAAAATTAAAATTGTGGTGTTGGATGGCCGAATGGTTAGTACGTGGTTAGAACGTGTGCGTTGAGTCAACTGTTCTGGATTCGATTCCCTGGTTATACGTGACGAGTAGGGTTGCCTGTCCCACCTCGTTGGTTTTCTACGGGTCTTTTGGTTTCTTCCCAATGCTAAAGACCCCTACGCGCAAGCGAATTATTGAAACAAAACTGAACCTTATGTTAGTCCCGAAATGCCCTAGTTTTTACCCAGTGGAGTTAAAACCAATTTCTCTTTCTCTCCCTGGGTCTGACTAGAGCCATATGAAAATGAAGTTTTCAATTGGATTGAAGCAGGCCTACTAATGTCTCAATTGTGGTTGGCTAACAAAATGGCTTTTTGGTCTGATCTTGGAGCTATGCAGATTCTTACACCATTTCTACCTCTGACCAATTTTCCACACACGTCACTACCCAGCATCAGTGTCAACTGCAGGGGAAGACAACTCGGCTTGGGAGATTGTCTCTGACCCTCTATATCAGTGATTCTCAACCAGTGTGCCGCGAAATTTTGAACGGCACACTTAAGAAAATTTCTCACTAAAGAAGCCAGCTATTTGACTGATGAAATTCGAAACACTGCAATAAAGTAAGTTCATAGCTGTGTTTTTCTTTATTTAATTTGAGTCATTCTATATAGTCTGTGTCTACGGTTGTATGCCGTCTATGACTTCCATGTTTTTATTTTGTAATATTTAAATATTTTTCATATATATTTAGGCCAGGTGTGCCGCTATTTTGTCATGTGTTCCAAGGTGTGCCGTTGGCAAAAAAGATTGAGAACCACTGCTCTATAACATTCATTATTTTATTTTTTTTTCTGTTCTGTTAATCTATAAAACTTAAAAATTACCTAACAAAATGGCGACGATGGCCACATTTAGCTAGACTCTCTTTATATGTCTCTGGGTCTGACCAGATGAGATCTGTAAACCTAGTGAGGCACATTTACTTGTGTGTATTTAGTGTCAGTACAAAAATAAATAAATTCAGTATTTAAAGGAGCTAAATCGCTAATATTTGGGACCTAGAAATTGGCCCTAATGGGTCGCAATGCATATAATAATGTAATCTGATTGTATATAAACTGATTTACATTCAATTGTTTCTGTTATGTCCAGCGAAATATGGCATGAGTCTCGACCGAATGGCATTTTCTAGCATCTGGTTAATCCAGTTTATTGCAAATGCTCTCTGGATAAGATATGGCGTCACCGTTTGACAGGAGTTGTGGAATACTGTATGTCTAGCCTCGTTCTTTCTGGTCACTTGTTACAAATGACGCTGAAACACATTATGGTACTTGATTCATGTACCAATGGTAAAATGTTTATTTTGTCTTAAATATTGGATATCAGAAGCCCACCTTTTCCCGCTAAGATCACAACATCAATGTTGATTTGAATTGACAAATTATTTGTGTTTTCACTGTTGAAGATTCTGGATGATATTGAATTAGAGACTTAGCTACTTTAAAATGATGTGGTAAATTCAAAATTTTGGAACATTTGGCATTTTTTGCAGACATATGAGTGTTGGGTACAATTATTTAAATGACCTCTAAGTTGGGAGATTATCTTTCACAATAATGTACTTTGCAAGGGTTTTAAAATCCCTCTGCAGTTTTTAATACAAGTGCTCACAAAAACAGAACATTAGCATTTGAATAAGTGTTCGGTTTTCTGTATTCAATGTCGGTTAAACAATGTCGGTTATGCAACAGCTAAACCTGCCAATTGTAGGTCTTTCATTAGGCCTGAAATGTTATCTAAATTATTAATTAGACATTAATTAACTTATCCAGACCATAATCAACTCTCGATGGCATCGCTAGCCTGCGACATTTACTGGATTAGAACCTGGTCTGCTGCTTCTGATTAAATCAAAAATTGGATAATCGAGACTATGTTGTTTTTTTTATCATGACTTTAGTAATGATAATCGAGGCTAAGACCAAAATTCAATTGCTAAATACTTGGTTCATTGTGGATTAATTGTCTTTACATTATCTAGTTTTTAACTATTATAGTGAGAACTAACAGCTCTTTATCTAATCTCCCATAATGTATCCTTAAATGTAATGAAATAAATCAGTTTTTTCATCTCCAACAGGAAATATTTAATGTATTAATTTACAATTTCTATCTAGAAATCTGAAATGCACCAAAATAAATACAACAAGCAGTTGCCATGTAAGATACACCCACATTTTGCAAGAGATGGACAATCAGGGGCCATAATCCAGTATGTTACGGTCCGACATGCGGCAATATCAAAAGGAACCAAGGTCTTTGGAATATAAATATATATTTTAAGTTTCATCAAAATCGGGTAAAAATTGTGACCTCTAGTGGATCCACAAGGTAAAAACGTGATTTTTTTGTACAATCAGGGGGTATAATCCAGGAAGTTACTGTCAGATATTGAAACGAACCAAGAACTTTGGGATGTAAACATATATTTTAAGTTTCATCAAAATCGGATAAAAATTGTGACCTCTACAGGATCCACGAACAAAACGGGAACGGACAGACGTCCAGACTTGAAAATTTATAATTTGATGTATAGGGTCTGGCACAAAGTCGGGAAGACTCCCTCTTGTCTGCCACATAGAATCCCTCTTGTCTGACACAAAGTTCAAAATGTCTGGTACTAGTTAAAAAATGGGTGACATTTTGTCAGGTATAACCGAAATCATTATTCCTCCCACCCCCTACTGGAAAATCCTGGCATTGTCACTGGATTTTGTGGCAAACCAACTAAAAGTTGCACGATATATCGTTGAATCGATATATCGCGATTCACTGTGTCACGACGCACAATTTTTTACGATTATTTTTTTATGTTTTTTTTTTGTCACTTCAGTATCTAGTCTGTCACTCTTAATTATCCACAATCTAATTAAAATATAGATCTATATTTCGTTTCGTTTTTTATACTTTCGATGGCCTACACTACATGTAGATCTAACAAGTTATAGTGGGAGTTCACATTCTATGACATCAGGTACCAAGCAAGCGACATTTGACCAGATTACTTCAGTCATTCGATTAACCAATTAGCGACCGACATGTATTTTTATCTACTTTTGCTTTGTTTTGATTTCTGTTGCCGCTAATGTCTACCCACAGTTCCGCGCAAAAAAGGTCAAACGCTTGATTCGACAGACCATTTGATTGGCTGACCCCTCATTTCAAGCAGAACACGTCAATGATAACAACGCTTCCAGATCCAAGTGTAGTAAAGACAAGTAAAACGAAATTTTGAATTATAAAAACGAAACGCAATTGGATCTGTGTTTTAATCAGATTGAATTATCCAAGTCAAACATTATCCATAGGTAAACAATTATTTTAAATTGTTTGGGTCCTTTTTTTGATCCATATCAATATTGTGATATAAAACAGTTTTATTTCTTCGATATCGGCAGGAATAAAAATTCCTGCAGTCCTGTTGTTTTCTTTGTAATTAATATTGATCTGGTTATGAATTGTCATACGAATCGTATTGTAGTACCTGAATCGCAATACATATGGTATCATGATTGGAGTCGCAATACCCAACACTAATACCAATGAAACAAAACAAAAACAAACAAAAAACCCATTACCATCTCCCTCCCATAAATAATTTGTGACCATATATGTTGGCACCTGACAGTCTCCATTTTATATCAGTGGGTTTGACAGCAGACGTGGAATGAATAAAATATAAATCTGCAGTAAATATTATCCTGAGTCTTTATTGGTTGGATTATTTCTAACTTGTTGTAAATCTTCCACCCAAGATTTAACTTGATCCGTGTTAAACTGACCTGTAATAAAAAAATAAATTAAATTTACTCTCTAACTGGGAAGGTGGTGCAGGACGGAGGGCCTGACAAGGACAGCTGTCTAGTCGTTCAGATGGGATGAAAAAACGAGGTCCCATGTACACATTAGTGTGCACGTAAAAGATCCTTTGGCGGTTGGAATTCGATACAAGAGTAAGCCATAGTGCTGCTGCCCGGGCAAAATTTCCCTCATAGCACACTGTATGGCATGAAAAAGCGAGGTCCCGTGTACACATTGGTGTGCACATAACAGATCCCTTGGCGGTTAGAATTTGATATAAGAGTAAGCCATAGTACTGCTGTCCGGGCAAAAATTCCCTCATAGCACACTGTATGGTGTATGCCCGTCTTCATTAGCCCAGTTCGGAGCAGAACAGTAGGACGTTAAACCCTATTTCATTTCACCTTTTACTGGAAAGCTAAAGATAAACCAACAAGCCCACCACATACCGTTAATAAATGTATAAGTATATATACATTGTTCTGCACTGACTGGGCTAATGAAGACAGACATACGCCATACAGTGTACTATGAGGGAATTTTTGCCCGGACAGCAGCACTATGGCTTACTCTTATATCGAATTCTAACCGCCAAGGGATCTTTTACGTGCACGTCAATGTGTAAACGGCTTGCTTACCATCATGCACTAATGACAAGGAGTGACCACACCAGAAAATCTGGCCAACACAGGGATGGACCACGGGACAACCCAGGGGCGGATCAAGGGATTTTTGCAGGAGGGGGTTTGTCAGGTTCCTGAGACAATGTATCCACCCCCCAACCCCCGCATTTTCTCTATCGTCATTTTGGCGTATATACATACACATTGAGCTTTTTAAACAGAGAAATTCAACATCTCGTTTAACATCAATTTTTATTATGAATTAATACAATGACATTGTGATTCAATTTCATGGATGCAAAGCATTAATTGTGATATCACATAATGTCTATATCATTATCTTGTGCTTTGAGTGCCCATCCTGTCCCACATCTGACGATAAAGCCGAGAATCTTTTCTCATAAAAATTGTTGATTTACAAAAAAAAAAATATGGAGCTGAGCAGGGGGGTTCGACCCCCCAAATCCCCCCTCTGGATCCGCCCTTGCAACCAGATTAGCGAGCCACTGCGGGAATAACTATGGGAATATCAGTGTTGCTATCACATATTGATTCAATTAAGAGTCCTTCTTGAAGGAAGTTACTTATATTTTATTTGAAAACTAAAGATAGGTTGCCCACAGCAGTTAAGTTGTCCGAGAAAACCAGAAGGTTGTCATGTTATTAAGAAAATAAAAGGCAAAATCTTTATACTCACTGGAACTCTGACATGAGTATCGGGATACTCGATTGAACTTCAAAAAAGATTGACAATCAAGCAAAAAGGGGGATTTAGAGAGAGAGAGAGAGAGAAATGGGGTTTAACGTCCACTCGACACAAACTAGGTCATTTCGAGACTAACACATGGTTTAATTTTATTTCAATAATTCGCTTGCGCGTAGGGGTCTTTAGCAGTGGGAGGAAACCGGAGGACCCGTTGAAAACCCACGAGGTTGGACTGGCGACCCTACTCCTTGCCACGTACAACCGGGGATTCGAAACCACGCCAGTTGACTCAATGACAGACTTTATGGTACAGCACGCACGTGCTAACCATTCGGCCACCCAACCCCCCAAAAGGGGGATTTAGGGCTATAAAAGCATGCGCTGACTGCATAAGAAAATATCTCATACTAAGTTTACGGACAGACTTTTTGATGTGCAACACCACATAATATTACCTTCTGTAGAGTCGAAGAATTCCTGTAAACTTTTGCCGTCTAGTTGTTCGTATTCATGCGCCTGTTGAATCATATCAAATTTATCTAAATCTTTAACAAACATGGCTTCTTTACTAGACATAGTTTCATATTCCTGTAATAATACAACATTTATTTAAACAGAGAGAGAGAGAGAGAGAGAGAGAGAGATGGGGTTTAACATCCACTCGACACAAACTAGGTCATTTCGGGACTAACATATGGTTTTTAATTTTATTTACATAGGCGACCCTACTCCTTGCCACGTACAACCAGGGATTCAAGGTCGACTCAATGACAGACTTTATGATACAGCGCGCGCACGCTAACCATTCAGCCATCCACCCCCCCCCCCCCCCCCCCCCCCCGAGAGAGAGAGATGGGGTTTAACATCCACATGACACAAACTAGTTTGTTTCGGGACTAATATATATGGGTCAATTTTATTTCAATAATTCACTTGCACATAGGGGTCTTTAGTAGTGGGACGAAACTGGTTTGCTTATATTGTCTCCAGTGGATCTAGAAACATTATAAAATTTTTAATTCAATTTGTAAATTAAACCATTGTTTGACTGATAATCCCGTTTAGAGATTCCAAATGAAATGAAATTGGGTTTAAAGGCTCAATACCACTCCTGTTGTAACTGAATAATATGTCCCAATCTTTATTCTGGTCAACAAATTGTACTATTTTACAATATTCCAATTAATTGATGATACAAATTTCATCTTAACACACCTAATTTAAAAAATTGGAAAAATTCAACTAAATGATTTGAAAAGCCTAACGTAAACCTTTTCAAATGTGACTTGGATTTAAAAATATTTTCGATGCCTCTGGACAAGTAAAATAGGATGTAATGGATAATTTACACAACAGGTAGGACACTTAAACATCTAATACTTAGAATAAGGCTAATATTTATTTACTGGAGCTGTCAAGCCAGCAAGAGTGTTATTGTCCCTTTTACACCCTACTGTTCTACTGCGATTGGGCTAATGAAGACGGGCATACGCTAACCAGTCTGCTATGGGGGGGAACTGTTGCCCGGACAGTGGCGCTACGGCCTACTATTATATCGAATTCCAACTGCCAAGGGATCTTTTATATGCAAGCCAATGTATACATAGGACCTCGGCTTTTCATATCATCCGAACAACTATACACTGTCCCTTGCCAGGCCCTCCATCCTACACTGTCGACAAGGGGGAACCACGCCGGAAAATTCCGATAAACTTTCTCGGCCAATGCAGGGATCGAACACGGGACCTCCAGGTTAGCGAGCCAATGTCTTACTCACTGAGTCACCGTGGCTCCCTTAGAGATTCGACTTTCACAATATTGTATTTTGAAACAGATTCAAAATCAGTGGATTAATATATTTACTATAAAACTGCATTTTGAGATAATGATGAAAACTGCACAATAAAAATTTAATCTGAAATGAAATGAAATGGGGTACTGTTCTGCTCCTATGCTGGGCTAATGAAGACGGGCATACGCCATACAGTGTGCTATGAGGGAAATTTTGCCCGGACATCGGCACTATCGCCTACTCTGATATCGAATTCCAACTGCCAAGGGATCTTTTACGTGCATTCCAAAGTATACACGGGACCTCGGTTTTTCGTCTCATCCAAAGGACTAGACAGCTGTCCTTGTCAGGCCCTCCATCCTGCATCACTGGATGAACTTTCTCGGCCAATGCAGGGATCGAACACTCGACCTCCAGGCTAGCGAGCCAGCGTCTTACCCACTTAGCCACGTGATCCCCCCCAAAAAATTTAATCTACTAGTATCATGTAACAAAAATGTCGTCTTACCTGCCAAAGGTCGTAGATTTCTGATCCTACAGAACTGTCAACTAAACTACATATATACTTTACTGCTGTCTAAAATAAAACATTATAAATATAAATAAACATGCTCCACCTATCACCCATTCACTGAAGAACATGATTTTAGTCATTTCTTTCTCTTTACTACATGTAGAATGCACTTTAAAACCCAATCAAGCTAGGGTTTCATGATTGTTAACTTATGGTTTCTCTTATTATTGTTCAATGTACCTATATATAACACTGTCACAATTTTTTCCTCATTTGTAAAATGTATGCTTGATAATGAATGACCAGTGAATTCTTGTCAAACTTTGTGTGTATATAATATAGTGATTGTTATCCATAGAACTGGGTTGTGTTACACTTTAAAAGCGTTTTAATAAAACCAAGTCTATCCAGCACTTTTTAAGTGACAGTGATAACGCCTGGAAATAACGGTTTTAGATGTACCTGAAATAGTACCTGACATTTTCAACTTAGTGTCGGACATGTATTAATAATATCAATAAAAAAGACAAAACAGTGCCAGACAAAATGACAGGCACCAGAGGTTTTGTGTGTCGGACGGAGCCTGAATCTGTGCCTGACATTGTCTGTGACAGGTGCCTTATTTCCAGGCTTGGATACAGCGGTATCTGAGAACCAGACTATTTGTTTATATATGGAATTACTACAGGTAATTAACATGCTGCGGCCTTAGTACAGGTAGATTACTTACCTCCTCTCGTTTATATATGGCCTTACTACAGGTAGATTACGTACCTCCTCTCGTTTATATATTTACTACAGGTAGATTACTTACCTCCTCTCGTTTATGTTTATCTTGTTTAGCCACGCCATCAAAAGGTGTTATATCTCCTACTATACATTCAGCCATATCATGTACTAAACACAGCTTTATACACCTAGAAATATATCATATGGTGTTATATATCTCATCTTTATACATCTAGAAATATATCATATAGTGTTCTATATCTCATCTTTATACACCTAGAAATATATCATATTGTGTTATATATCTCATCTATGTACACCTAGAAATATATCATATAGTGTTATATATCTCATCTTTATACACCTAGAAATATATCATATTGTGTTATATATCTCATCTTTATACACCTAGAAATATATCATATAGTGTTATATATCTCATCTTTATACACCTAGAAATATATCATATTGTGTTATATATCTCATCTTTATACATCTAGAAATATATCATATAAATATGGTTATTTTATTCATTTATTTATTATTCTAAGAGAGAGAGAGAGAGAAAAATGGGGTTTAAGTCCACTCGACATAAACTAGGTCATTTCAAGACTAACATATGGTTTAATTTTATTTCAATAATTTGCTTGCGCGTAGGGTTCTTTAGTAGTGGGAGGAAACAACCAGAGGATCCGGAGAAAACCCACGAGGTTGGACAGGCGACCCTACTCCTTGTCACATACAACCGGGGATTTGAAACTAGCCAGTTGACTCAATGACAGGCCTTATGATACAGCGCGCACATGCTAACCATTCGGCCATCCGCCCCCCTATTATTCTAAGAGTAAGAAACAGATACATTCATGACAATGGAAAAAAATCATGAATGATCTGCTTCTTAAAGGACAATATTGGTGTCAGTCATTATCACATGTGTGATAGAACTGGTTAAACACGTTCCAAATGTAATTTTAACACAGAGATCATTGCTACGATAGATGCATTGTGGAGCTTTCAAGAAAGGGAAGTCACGAACGCATAAGGAAAACACGAGTTATCCTTCTTTATAACTGACTGAAGTGACGAGTGATAACAGATACACAGTCTTCGAAGGAATTATTAGTGAGCAGAAATTCTCTGTGTATCTATTATCACTCGTCTCTTCAGTTAGTTATATAGAAGGATAACTCATGTTTTCCTTTTGCGTTCGTCACTGCGCTTTCTTGAAAGCTTCATAACTCATCTTTCGTAGCAATGATCTCTGTGTATGAAAATTCCTGGTTTATTTCCAGTTATATATCTCTTAAAGGGACAATAACACTCTTGCTGGCTTGACAGCTCCAGAAAATAAAAAATAGCCTTATTCTAAGTACTAGATTTTAGTGCCCTACCTGTTGTGTAAATTATCCATTAAATCCTATTTTACTATTTTATTTGTCCAGAGGTTTCAAAAATATTTTTAAATCCAAGTCACATTTGAAAAGCTTTACGTCAGGCTGTTCAAATCATTTAGTTGAATTTTTCCAATTTTTTAAATTAGGTGTGTTAAGATGAAATTTGTATCATCAATTAATTGGAATATTGTAAAATAGTACAATTTGTTGATCAGAATAAAGATTGGGACATATTATTCAGTTACAACAAGAGTGGTATTGAGCCTTTAAACTCGAGATAATTTTTTGTGTCATTATGTACTGAATTTCCAGCTTCTCCATTTTAATAGATAATCTAAAGAACACCATTGTATCCGGGATAAGATTGGTCATTCCGAGACTAACATATATCAGAGGTGTTTCGGAGTACACTTAATCGAATTCCAACTGACATGGGTTCTTAAATTCCATCCCATCCGAACCACTAGACAAGACTTTCTGTGTTGTCCCACAGAGGGAACTGAGCTTGGAAGATCTCACAGTTCATCTGGAACAATGCCTGGAATTGAGCCCTTACCGACCGGCACTGTCGAAAATTAGGGAGGGCCCCCCCTTGGATCCGCCTCTGCAGATCTACTGACCAGTCCAGCCCCTGCTACTCTTGTAAGGTAGTGTTGTCATTCCCCCTATCATTTCCCTAAATAGAGAGAGAGAGAGAGAGAGAGAGAGAGATAGGTGTAAATATACGCGCACACGCTTACCATTTGGTCATCACCCCCTAATATAATCAAGATAGAGATGGGGTTTAACATCCACTCAACACAAACTAGGTCATTTCGAGACTAACATATGGTTCAATTTTCTGATCTAACGCACACACTTTAATCATTCACCCCCCCCCCCCCCATTTCCCTGCTTACCTTCATCCAAGCCTGAATCGGGTTTAACTGCATTGAGTCAAGTGAGATGATTTCGATCCCAGAAATGAAATGAAATGGGGTTTAATGTCCTACTGTTCTGCTCCGAACTGGGCTAATGAAGACGGGCATACGCCATACAGTGTGCTATGAGGGAAATTTTGCCCGGACAGTGGCACTCTTATATTGAATTCCAAATGTCAAGGGATCTTTTACGTGCACGCCAATGTGTACACGGGACCTCGGTTTTTCGTCCCAACCGAACGACTAGACAGCTGTCCTTGTCAGGCCCTTCGTCCTGCATCACTGACAAGGGGGAACCACGCCGGAAAATCTGGATGAACTTTCTCGGCCAATGTAGGGATCGAACACTCGCCCTCCAGGCTAGCGAGCCAGCGTCTTATCCACTTAGCCACGCGATCCCATGCTAGTACATAACGAGAAGTGAGTTTTCTTTGGGTCCTTCAGCTTACTCCCACTGCTAAAGAACCCTCAAATTGTACCTTATGTTAGTCCCAAAAAGACATAGTCTGTGAGGAGTGGATGTTAAACCCCATTTCACTCTCTCCCTTATAACTTACTTATCTTTATCTAATCCTGAATCAGGTTTAACTAGAAATGCCATGACTGCCATTCTATACATGTGATCGGCAACACTTTCTGGATCAGTGACATGTTTTCTCACCCATCCTGTTCTTCTTACTCTCTGTAAAACAAAATCGTTAGATGAAAATTCTTTTTACCATTACTTAATATTTTCTCTCTTTGTGTAGGCGTAGAGTTCTTTGAAAAGCGCTTCAGATTCATCTTTTGAGTGCTTGAGCCACCCTTAAATAAGTCATCCACTTGCCATGTATGTGAAACGAAAGGCGTCCAAGCGTAGCTAAATACAAACACACCAGTATATCTCAATGTTTATAGCTACCGTAAGGCTATACTCATGGGTGGGTAGGTCTACTCTGTCGAGACTTAATAATGCCTAATATCTACTCATAAAAGCTAAACATTTCTGCATATTTTCCAACAATTTCAAAAGTAATCTACATATTTCTGATAGGGTAAGCTTAGGAATTTACCATTATTTACAAATGGATTTTTAATCAGAATTATATAATAGTTTGACCATTTTATTTGAATGTTATCGTAGCAGAGATTAAATATTAGATTAATTCATTGAACAGTTCTGATTATGACCCTTTTGTTCTGATTTTTGATCAGAATTTCCAAAAGCTCAGTAAAACCATAGACCTATTATATACAAGGTCCATGGTATAACCGGTTGCATTGAGCTGCCAGGGCTGCCAGGGCATTGTTAATGATGGCTTTGTAATTGTAATAGATATTTTCACAAAACGTGTACGGGCTGCAAAGATAAAAAAAAAAATATCGATCTATGAAACCTTTAGTTGTCCAATCAGTGAAAAAAACTCTAAATGTTTCGATACACTCGAATTCGCTGCCATTATTGTAAAGATTAATGCAACCTGGTACCGAAAGATCTTCTTGAGCAAAATTCAAACAAGGCTTACAAGGGTCAGTTCCAAATCAATCAATTTTATACAACTCTTGTACTTTAGAGTTATGCCCCTTAGGAATATGGAGTCATTTAATGAAATTTAACAATTTTTCATTTTCTAGACTGAATATAATAAAAACTTCACAAATTCTGACCGGTAAATATATATACACTTTGGCATTAAAAACACCACCCGTTTGAAAGATGTAAATAGGCACACCAAGGTCCTAATAAAGATCAATATCGCACCAGGCATTGTTATTGATTGAAATGGACCAATTTTGAATATTAATTCGTGTTTTTAATTTCGAATATTATGTATAATGTTTAGCGCCTTTAAATAAAACTCTCAGAACTGACAGAATTCAGGACATGCTAAAATAATACAAATATTTAATGAAATGAGTGACCGTTGCGTTTTTGACATGTACCAGTACCGTAGTTCTTCCAAAATTAGCTAGAATTTCAAATAAAATATTAAAATTTTTAGTAATGTGGACAAATATTTGATTTTAGATTTGGGATGAAAATGAAATGAAGTGGGGTTTAACCTCTTACTGTTCTGCTCCGACTGGGCTAATGGAGACGGGCATACTATACAGTGTGTTGTCCGGGCAGCGACACTATGGCTTACTCTTATGTTGAATTCCAACTGCCAAGGGATCTTTTACGTGCATGTCAATGTGTACACAGGACCTCAGTTTTTCATCCCATCTGAATGACTAGACAGCTTTCCTTGTCAGGCCTTCCGTCCTGCAACACTGACAAGGGGAAACCCCGTCGGAAAATCCAGATGAAGTTTCTCGGCCAAAGCAGGGATCGAACAGGCGAGTCAGCATCTTACCGACTTACCCAGCGGGGGGGGGGGAAGGGGTTGGATGGCTAAATGGGTAGCATGTGTGCGCTGTATCATAAAATCTGTCATTGAGTCAACTGGCGTATTTTCGATTCACCGGTTGTAAGTGACAAGGAGTAGGGTCGCCTGTCCAACCTCGTGGGTTTTCTCCGGGTCCCTCCCACTACTAACGACCCCTACGTGCAACCAGATTATGGAAATAAAATTGAACCATATGTTAGTCCCGAAATGACCTAGTTTGTGTTGAGTGGACGTTAAACCCCATTTCTCTCTCTCTTTCTCTCTCTCACTTACCCACTGTGGCTCCCAAATTTGTGATAAAACAGCCCTATATAAAATGGATTTAATAATATACATTTTCTATTTCAGGCACTTCCACTACATGTAACTATGGAAACGTGTATAAATATAAAAACTGAACCTGTAGCAGTAGAAGAAGAGGAAACCAATATAACATTCCATCAATGTACTGTCTGTGATGAAATATTTGATACCTTAGCTGAAGTTCAACGTCATGGTGTTATTCATGAAACTTCTTCACAATCAACCGAAAATAGCGATAATACTTTAGTAACCAGACCAGTAAAAACTGAACCAACATCCACTGAAACTGAAGTAAATGATAACTTATCTAATTCAGTCGCTTGTGTTGAATATGAAAGAGCAGGAAGTCCTGATTTCGACATTCCCCTGACATGCGTTAACACTGATAAAATGGAAAGTAGCAGGGTTAAAGTAATTGTCCCTGAAGGACCAGAGAGTCCTGATTGTGACGTTCCTGTGACGTTTGCTAATAGGCCTACTTTTAAAACCGGAAGTACCAGTGCCGAATCAAACACCCATGTTTTATTTGATACTTCCGAAATTCCCCCCTTACCTTTACCTGTGCCACTTTCGTTAATCAAGTCGGAAAAATCAGATATTGATGGTATGTCACAGAGACAAAGTGGATCTACAGCTGGTACCGAAAAACCTCGACCAAATGGTAAATCGTCGGCCTGCTGTAAAGTTTGTAATAAGGTTTTTACATGTAACAGTGCGCTGGAAATTCACAGCCGCGGCCATACTGGTGAAAAACCATTCAAGTGTGAAGTTTGTGGAAAAGCTTTTGGTCGGATCGATTCCTTACGGAAACATCACAGCATTCATACCGGTGAAAAACCATTTAAGTGCGAAACTTGTGGTAAATGTTTCAGGCAAAGTGACGGGTTGATGAAACACGAACGACAGCATTCAGGAGAAAAACCCTATAAGTGTAATTATTGTGGGAAGTTCTTCCGCAATCAGAGTTCAATATTAGTGCACATTAGAACGCATACAGGGGTGAAGAATTATTCATGTGATACATGTGGTAAATCGTTTAGTCAGAGCGGCCATCTTACTTCCCATGCTAAAACACATTCACAGGATAAAAAACCATTTCAGTGCAGTAAATGTGGAGTAAGTTTTGCTCAGTCTAAAAGTTTGAAAAATCATGAAAAAACTCACGAGTGAATTACAGAATAGAAATTTTGTGTAATTTTTTATAAGCTCACATCTGGCAATTTGGATGGTATGAAAAGTTTTTAATAAGCTCACGTCTGATTGTCCATCTAACCTGCAGTGCTGACATGGAAAATATGTCTTGTATTTGGGATAGGATGAAAACCGAGGTTTACCCATGTACACGAAAATGTAGACTTAACCGTTGGAATAGGGTGAAGAGTAGGCAGGGCCTAATTTAACACATGTTCCTAAACCAATTACTGCAAGTTTTACAACATCTGGACGTTGCTAGATTACTTTACAATTCCCAAACTTATAGCTATCTTATCTGCAGACACGTGAACAGTAGCGTGCAATCAGAGGTTGTGACATAGCGACCTCCATGGAAGCTTTGACATTGAACAAACCTTGAACTTTGCAACTCGATTATCACAGGTAGACATTTTAGCTGGAATGCGCGAGTCTTGGTATTCATGATGATCGAGGAATCTGATAGGCTCACAAGCTGGGCTTGTACCCAATCGAAATTTGTGCCGAAATATGCAAGGTATTACGTGAAGGCCTTGATAAGATGTACGGAGTTAAAGCGAGATCATTCTTTCTATTGAAGATGATTTTAACATGCCTACAGGCATGAACGTGACTCTGGATAAAAAATCTGTGCTTTGAAAATCTGAAATCCATGATTTGAAAAAATGCTATGTAGCCTTGTGAATCTGGCAAGATTGTATGGGGAAACTTAGCTATCATTTTGATCATCAACCACTTTTGAATTCTGTTTCAAAAGTTTTGTATTGTTGACGTATTCCCACCATCACCTAAAACACGAAAATTACATAGCAGGACATCATCAGGTGTGGGAGAGATTTAGCGAGAGAGCGAGAGAAAGAGATTGACACAAACTAGGTCATTTCAGGACTAACATATGGTTCAATTTTATCTCCATAATTCACTTGCGCATAGGGGTCTTTAGCAGGGGTAGGAGAGTGGAGAACCCGGAGAAAACCCACAGAGGTTAGACAAGCGACCCTACTCCTTGTCAGGTAAAAACAGCAAATCAAAACCATACCACTGGACTCAATGACAGAGCTTATGATTTCACACCCACATTTGACCATAGAAAAAAACAAATAACAGTTTACTAGTCTCAAAATAAACAAAGTATAGTCATCCGCAATTCCTTGTGACTACTTTTCACTTTTTGAAATCATTTATAAGATCAAGCAATCTGGTTAAAATACAGATCTATATTTCGTTTCGTTTTTTTATACTTTCAATGGCCTACACTACATGAAGATCTGACAAGTTATAGCGATAGGTCACGTCAGGGGTCAAAAGACCGACTTATGACCCTATGATGTCAGACATTTGATTAACCAATCAGCATTGATGTTACTAGTGGATTACCCACAGTTCCGTGCAAAACATGCCTAAAGCTCGCCATAACAGACCATTTCATCGGCTTATCCCTGACACCATTCAGAACACAAGTTAAATAACAACTCTTCCAGATTCAAGTGTACCGTAGTAAAGACAAGTAAAACATATTTTTATATGTGTTACATATTTTTTATAACGCTGAATATTCATTAAATTATTTAATGAATTCATTGGAAGGAATTTATTATTATTATATATAATATGAAAATGGCTAGACCTTTTTGATCTGAATCAAAATTAAAATGGTAGATTTCATTGGATATAAATGTTCTATCATGTAATGTGTTATGTGTAATATATGTATTTAGAACATTTGGTCTAATGTGCTTGCACAAAGCTTTATTTAAAATGTAAAGTTATTGTTCAAATTTTACAAAATGTTGTTTTAAAGTAGCTGAGTCTCAATATCATCCAAAGACTTCGACATTGAAAACACAAATTATTTGTCAATTTAAATCAACATTGATGTTGTGATCTTACTGGGAAAAGATGGGCTTTTGATATTTAAGACAAAATAAACATATTACCATTGGTACACGAATCGTGTACCATAATGCATTTCAGTGCTGAATATAACTGATTAGAATTTACAGTAAAGGCAGAGACGATTGAATGTAAATCAGTTTATGTACATTCATGTTACATTATGATATGTGTTGCGACGCATTTGTGTCAATTTCTAGGTCCCGAATATTAGCGATTTAGCTCCTTTAGGAGAGAGGGGGGCTTTTGTCAAACGTACAAGCTCTTCAAGCAACTGGTGTTTCGGTAACTGGCTTTAACTGAATGCAACTGAAAATGGTCGACCTGAGCACCTCTATAACTAGTTCCAGTCTGTTGAAGCCAGTTGTTTTAACTTTCTGCAACTAGCTTCAATTTGCGTCAACTAGTTGCCATCGACGTAAGCATTCTTACAACTGACGTCAACTTGTTTCAATGGAAATAATATCATGTGACTTTATAAATAAGCAAAATTGAAACGAACAAAGACTGACCATGTCGTTACATGCTTCATCTAAGGTATTCGCCATAGGAGATTAGATAAAGAGCTGGCAGTTCTCACTATAATAGTTAACAACTAAATGATGTAAAGGGAATATGCTGAAAATTTAAGCCAAATTGATCCACTCTGAACCGAGATATTAGCGTATGAAAATTGAATGTTAGGCCTAGCTTCGATCATCAGATCAGATTCAAAACCAGTGAAAATCTGACATATAAGTTGATCAAGGTCTTTTCATGTTAATAAATGTCTAATTAATAGTATAGTTTATATACATTTAAAATAAGATGTGACGTCATCCTTTGATGTTGGCGTACCATTATTTCCAATAATGTACGGGCAACTTGCCAATCGTACATTATCTATACCAGATGAAATATTGGACTCACGTGATGGTGTCTGTATTTTAAATTGTTTCATGGTCTCAAGCTAAAGACATTGCGTAATATATTGAAACAACACTCAGCTGACGCCTTGTGCTTTATCAATATATTACTAAATGTCTCGGTCTCGAACATTAAACCATACATAACATTTCAGGGCCAAAAGAAAGTCCCGCGATAGGGAGATCTAGCTCTTGAATAATGTATGTTTAAGTGTAACTGATACATGTAATCGATGTCAAGTCAACATGAACAGTCTGAATTCAGTTGGTAATATGATCAACATAAGCACACTGATTGGAACTACAGCTGCTTTGAGTTGTGGGGGGTTGGATGGCCGAATGGTTAGCACGTGCGTGCTGTACCATAAAGTCTGTCATTGAGTCAACTGGCGTGGTTTCGAATCCCCGGTTGTACGTGACAAGGAGTAGGGTCGCCTGTCCAACTTCGTGGGTTTTCTCCGGGTCCTCCGGTTTCCTTCCACTGCTAAAGACCCCTACGTGCAAGCGAATTATTGAAATAAAATTAAACCATGTTAGCGAAATAACCTAGTTTGTGTCGAGTGGACGTTAAACCCCATTTCTCTCTCTCGCTTTGAGTTGCGGTCGACATAATCCACCCCTTAATGTGTACATGTATAATTCTAATGCAACATTTACATTGTATATATTATATGTGTAAGACTGTAATATGCATATCTATACAGAAATATAAACAAGTTCAGGTTGTTTTATTATCAATCTGGTTAAAATACAGAACTATATTTCGTTTCGTTTTTTTATTCTTTCGATGGCCTACACTACATGAAGATCTAACCGATTGTAGCGATAGGTCGCGTCAGAGGTCATACGAGCAGCTTTTGACTATATGACGTCAGACATTTGATTAACCAATCAGCATTGATGTTACTTGTGGATTATACCCACAGTTCCGTGCAAAACGCGCCTAAAGCTCGCTGTAACAGACCGCTTCATTAGCTATTCCTTCACATTATTCAGAACACGTCAATGATAACAACTCTTCCAGATCCTAGTGTGGTAAAGACAAGTAAAACAAAATTTAGAACTATAAAAACAAAACGAAATAGGATCTGTGTTTTCATCAGATTGTTTTGTTATGGAATAAGAGGTTATTGTTGTTGTATTCAGTCATGTGTTGTGTGTTCAACTTGTTGTCAGTAAAATATTTATGTCAAGAGGTTTTTTTTTGTTGTCTGTTAAAATATATCTATACTAATATTTGTGACTGTCGTTTGTCTGTCTGTCTGTCTGTCTGTTCGGGGTTGGCGGCTACACTAGGTCTGCCCCGAATCTGAAATTTGGGGTATAGAGGTCGCTCGGACCGGGGAGTAACATAGGCCAGGTGGCGTTAGTCTTCCACTTCCGGTTTCGGAGTTATGACCCCCGAGCGAAGCCGGGTATCCTGCTAGTGAAACATAAAATTATGGTATGAACATTGTATACAGGATTTTCCGACGTGGTTTCCCCTTGTCAGTGGTGCAGAACGGAGGGCCTGACAAGGACAGCTGTCTAGTCCTTTGGATGAGAGGAAAAACCGAGGTCCCATGTATATATTGGAATGCACGTAAAAGATCCCTTGGCAGTTGGAATTCGAAATAAGAGTAGGCGATAGTGCCGCTGCCCGGGCAAAATTTCCCTCATAGCACACTGTATGGGCCTATGCCCGTCTTTATTAGCCCAGTATAGGAGCAGAACAGTAGGACGTTAAACCACAGTTCATTTCATTTCACATAGGCCAAGGCAATACTGAATAAACAATAGGCCTAAAATGTTTTTTGTCCGATCTTGTGACAGTCAATTCCTTTTATGAATAGCTTGTTTCAGACATATATCCTCTCACTGTATGATATAACAACCTTTCAGCTTAAACTGGTGTATCAATGAGTTGAAAGTTAACCATTGCAAATATCTGTGTTAAAATTATATTTGAAATTTGTTTAACCAATTCTGCAACACATGTAATATTGGTGTAGTATATATCTTTGTTTATACACCCACATATCAATTTTGGCATATTATACTGTTGCCCTGTTTGTCCGTCCACTGGGTGTGAAATGTGAATCATTCCGATCGTGAGAGGACGAGCATTATCAATATACAGCTTTTCGGGACTTTCCCTTCCTTGGTTAATTCTCCCTTTTTCGAACGCAATAGCTGCTGTGTCTATTCTTAATTGATCTTTTTCAAATTTGCCCAATCTTATACTGAATTCCAGCTGCCAATGGATCTTTCAAGTGCACGCCAATGTAAACACGAGACCTCAGGTTTTGTTCCATCCAAACAACTAGACAGCCGTCCTTGTTAGGCCCCTTTTCCTGCAACACTGACAAGAGGAAACCACGTTGGAAAATCCCGATGAACTTTCTCGGCCAGTGCAGGTATCGGACAAACGACCTCCAGGCTAGCGAGTGGCTTCCCCGAAATCTTAAAGGCTCAATACCACTCTTGTTGTAACTGAATATGTCCCAATCTTTATTCTGGTCAACAAATTGTACTATTTTGGAATATTTCAATTAATTGATGATACAAATTTCATCTTAACACACCTTATTTAAAAATTTTGAAAAATTCAACATAATGGTTTGAAACGTCTAACGTAAACCTTTTCAAATGAAACTTCGATTAAAAAGTCGTTCGGATGGGACGAAAAACCGAGGTCCCGTGTACTCATTGGCGTGCACGTAAAAGATCCCTTGGCAGTTGGAATTCGATATAAGAGTAGGCCGTAGTGCCGCTGTCCGGGCAAAATTTCCCTCATAGCACACTGTATGGCGTATGCCCGTCTTCATTAGCCCAGGTTAGGAGCAGAACAGTTGGACGTTAAACCCCATTTCATTTCATTTCATTTCGATTAAAAAATATTTTCGAACCCTCTGGACAAGTAAAATAGGATGTAATGGATAATTTACACAACAGGTAGGACACTTAAACATCTAGTACTTAGATAGAGATATTATTTATTTTCTGGAGCTTTTAAGCCAGCAAGAGTGTTATTGTCCCTTTAAAAGGGTTACTGTTCAATCCAAACGACTCAATGTTTTGACAATGTTTATACACCATTCCTCTATATTTTGGCAAATTTTATATGTACACAGACACAGACTTTTATTTCTGAGACTCTGTTAAAATCTGGATGGTCCTTTTAAGTAAGGGGAGTTGGATGGCTGAATGGTTAGCGTGCGCGCGCTGTATCATAAAGTCTGTTATTGAGTCGACTGTCGTGGTTTCGAATCCCCGATTGTACGTGACAAGGAGTAGGGTCGGCTGTCCAGCCTCGTGGGTTTTCTCTGGGTCCTCCGGTTTCCTCCCGATGCTAAAGACCCCTACGCGCAAGAGAATTATGTAAATAAAATTAAACTATATGTTTGTGTCGAGTGGACGTTAAACCCAATCTCTCTCTCTCTCTCTCTCTCTCTCTCGCTCTCCTTTAAAGTAATGGCCACGTAATCATGTAATGGTTAATTACATTTTATGGCACATATAAATATTTCCAATATGACCTGCCTCAAATTTTAATATTTATAGCATCAAAGAAGCAAATAATATTAAAGGACCTAAGTCCGTAACTCAAAATCCTCGACATCGAAAACACGAATTATTGGTCAATTTACATCAACATTAATGATGTAAACTTATCGGGAAAAGATGAGCCTCTGACATCCGATATTTAAGATAAAATAATTTTTTTAACATTGGTACACGAATCGTGTACCATAATGCGTTTCAGCCTCAGTTGTATTGACAGACTCGAGGGACGAGGCTAGACACATTGCACCAAATCAAATGGAGTTATGTAGACTAGAATAACTAGACGCTAGAAATTTGCACTGGATTGAGATTGCTGACTTATTTCGCCGAACATAACTGATTTGAAATTGGAGTAAAAACGGAAACCATTAAATGTAAATCAGTTTATATACATTCATATTACAGTATTATATGCATTGCGACCCACTTTTGTGAATTTCTAGGTCCCAAATGTTAGCGATTTAGCTCCTTTAATAATAATAAGACATGCAGAATAATGAAAAGTACGTTTCATGGATTCCGTTTTGCTTTTCGGAAGGAAAAGAGATTTACTACATTTTTGGAAACAAGAGATTTTTCAATAAATTTTCCATAAATGTTTTTGCATGAGGTCTTACTTATTATAGTATTCAAAATGTAAACCGAGAGCAATTTCATTTTACCATTATACAATTATATTTCTATGATATATGATCTCATTTTCGAAAGCACATTGCCCGAAAAAATTGGACGATACACTGAATCTTGCGCCCACATCCGCTCCCCCGGCTCCTACGCCTATGACCGTAGCGCCGCTTTCCAGGAAATCGTCCCCATAGCACACTGTATGGCATATAATGCCCGTCTTTATTTGCCCAGTCGAAATCTTAGAAGGGGGTTGGATGGCCGAATGGTTAAAGCGTACGTGTTGTATCATAAGGACTGTCATTGAGTCAAGTGGCGTGGTTTCTATTCCCCGCGTGTACGTGACAAAGAGTAGGGCACCTGTTCAAAGACCCCTAAACGTGCAAGCGAATTATTGAAATAAAATTGCACCTAATGTTAGTCCCGAAATGACCTAGTCTGTGTCGAGTGGAGTTAAGTCACTCTCTCTCTCTCTCTCTCTCTCTCTCTCTCTCTCTCATCTTTGTTACAGATCAACAGTGGCCAAGATCTCTGTGTTAAAATTATATCTGAAATGTGTTTAACCCGACCAATCACACATATAAAATACTGGGTGACACCGACATTATCCTTTAGGATATGTTTATGGGAAATAAAACAGCCCAGTCAATTTCATTCATTCATTATATCACGGATACGACCTCGGCCAGCGATTAAGTATTTTAAAGTTATTGTCCTCTGGCGCTAAGCTATTGTTTCAATGAATTAACCAGCTAGGTTTCTAAGAAACACATTTAGTGACAGGTAGCTTTAACACTAATTATTTAATCTGGCGTAATTAACGCCATGAGTAGTCCAGTCGGTGCATAAAAGCAGAAAGTTAAATCGCATTTCATTTTTCGTAATTAACACCTGAAACACGCCTTTTATTAGCCCGTGTTGTTATAAACACTCCTATGATAATGGTGCCTTATTACGTCATATATAAGTTATTATTTTTACTAATTATACCCTGTATAGCCCATTATACGTCATTGAATGTATTCTATTTTTAGAAACCAATCTTTCCATGACGGTTGATATTGGTGTATATGTCCAGCCTAATCTATCCTACTTGTGATAAGCAGTAATTGTATTTAATATAATTGATAATTGTGGCATATACCCCCCAAAAAACAAAAAAACAAAAAAAGAAAATGGTGTAGTTATTTAAAATTTACGTATTAAATTTTATATTTTTTAGCAAAAGGGGTCAGAAAAAAATGCAAATATTCAAACTTTACATATCAGAATTTGTATTTTTTTATTTTTTTTTGGCAAAAGAGGTGGATTTTAACATTTACAGAAAATAAAATTGGAGTGACACGTTAGAATTTACGTCTTAGTTGAAAATAAACACCCAAAATATGTACGGAATGTTGAATATCTCACAAACTTTAATTTATTCAGATTTAAATGATTTATTTAAAACTTTCCAGGGAGCCACGGTGAGACGTTGGTTCGTTAACCTGGAGCTTCCATGTTCGATTCCTGTGTTACTGTTAACCGAGAAAGTTCAGCGGTGTTTTACGGCGTGGTTGCCCATTGTCAGAGGTGCAGAGCGGAGG